GAAGAGTCGTTTGGCCACATGGTTAGGTATTGGGGCCGGGACTCAATCCGGTACCACCCAGAACCATGGCTTCCGTGCCCACTTTGAATATTTGGCACTAGCCGATGGAGCTTTTTGAAGCAGTGCAGGTTCGGCACATACTTGAAGAACTTGCAGACCCATAAGTATGTCATCACCCTTCGGATGCTGGTGGGAGTTAACTGACATAGAGAGATGTTGTAATGGATCAGCAAGTCTCGGACGAATACGTCCAAAGGGAACCTCAGCCCGTACTGAAGTTGTCTTGTGTACACCCCCACATACCCCGGGGGTGGACGATGGATTCTATCGGATGCCGAGGGCATTCGGCACCAATACCCATCAGCTTCAAAAATGCCGTAATGCAACTCAATTTGCTCGGCAAATCGATATTGATCGGCATTCTCCACCCACCATGGGTAGGGGCGGTTCTTTATCATGGCCGAAGCAACTTCGGCATTCTCCCATTCTGAAAACCCGGGGAGGATATCCCAAAGGACAGCGGGAACTTCATCATCCCGTCCAGAAGCGCTCGGCTCCTCCGTTCTCTGAGGAGGAGCCGAGGAAAGGGGAGTCGCCCTAATCCCTTCAGCAGGGTCAGACTCTGGCCTTTGTCCATTCCAGGTCCCAATCCTGTTCCTAGGATCGGGAATCGGCCTTGCTCTTCTTGGAGCACGGGCTCTACCTCTAACTCCTCTTGCCATTGATTATTTCGAAGAAAAAAGTCGAAAGAAAAGGGGAAGGAGTTCGAATTCGAAGAAAAATAAACTGAAATCAAAGGAATTTACCTTAATCTGAAGCGAAAGTTGCCGATTTACGAGTTCGTAGTGGCAAGTCTCAGTTTCTAAGCTTAATGCTCGGGGAATTTGCGAAGTTTTGATGCGGGTTCTTGGTTTCTCTCTCGAGAATTCTGGGTTTGTGTTGGTGAATAAGTGAGGAGAGATGACGCGCCTCTGTTTATATCTCCAGGAATGGGATACGAGGAGTCTGCGTTTTAATTTCTCTTAAATACTCCACTAAGTAACCGTTAAACACATGATCTTGTGATTAAACTGCCCATTATCCGTCCAACTTCCACAATCATCTGCCTTAACCGTTGTTATCTCATTAATTACGGTTTAAATTCAAATTTTTGGATTAATTAAATCATTTACTTCCCTCCTTTTCTGAATTAAATCAAACCCGACCCGTCATCCTTCCAAATCGGGTCTGGGGGGCAAGTTGTTTGGGTCCAATTTAGTCCAATTGGGCCTAAGCACTAAATGATCCAATTAAAAGCCCAAGGTCAAGGTTCAACTCTCCAATTGTGCTAAAGTCAAAGGTCAGCCCATAAAGCAAGCCAATTGGGCTAAGGCCCAACCTCTCCATGTATGATGAGGTATAAAAGCCATCAATATTGATACATTCATAGATTATTCATATATAGATTCATATGTTCATTCATATATTCTGAGATATTCCATAAAAGCCTCAAGCAACAAACTCTCTTGCATAGTGTCCTCTTCTTACACATTGTACTGACTTTAGCATCGGAGGGGCCTTCCTCGGCAACACCCCCGAGGCTAGTTTACGTGTGTTTACTGTGCAGGAAACCTTCGGCCCAACATAACTTGGATCGAATCCAGCCTTCTCCATTTCAGCGGACCTTCGGCAAGGTCCCATTGTTTTCACCCGAAACAATATCTTAACTTGCACAGTTGCAGTAGACGGGTTGGCAATATAATCAGGCATCTACCAACTAGTAGTAGTTCTTCAATCGTAATACAGTATGAATAAATTGAGCGATAATCAAGATCCCTCGAAAACTGTTTTTTGTTGAACAAGAGCCAGACATAAACTGACTAGTGTATTTATGAATTATGTACGAGCATGGCAAATACACTTAATGTTAATTTTTTTTATACTCCGTAAATAAATTTAATTTGACAGAATACTTTAAAAGTTAATACTGAATCAAGTTAGCGTCTAATATGCAAAGGAGGTCATGGACGATAACCCATTGTTTAAAATTGTATTCGGGCATTGGCAACTTAACAAGTGACTCGTACTTGGTTTGTCTCATGAGTCATGATGAGACTTTGAGGGGCTAGGGAATGGTCGTCTATATTTACCTGATTAAAGCATATATTACTTTGCATTGCATGTTCTTAGTTCCAAGTCTTCCAACCAAGTGTATAATGGCATCTTCATCTTGGAGGAGACCAGTGCAAATTTGCATTATTATTATATTACTCCGTATTTTTTTTTTCAAGAATCATGATCTTGCTGTCTTGGGCTTAATTTTTCCAGAGAGGCCCAAATAAGCCCACAACATATAGTTGAGCTTAGAGTGAAAAACGAACGTATATGGCCCAGTTGTCCATAAAACACAACTCAAGTGATAATGGATTCGTTTTCTATGTGGGCTCCAACAGGTTTTTGTAATAAACCAACGTTTACACGAATAAAAATAGCCCAATTTTTAGTTCAATTCTCTCTTGACATTCCACTTTACTCTCTTCACAATTACTCAAATAATATTCTGTATATAGTTTGTTAAATTTTTAGAGTTGCTAGGTAAATTTTTTTTGAGTATGATATACTTATAGATCTAGGATGTGAAAGTTGATCTTTTAATCCTCATTCCTACACTAGTGATGACATATTGACAGATACTGAGATACGTAATCCATTTATGTCCTCGCCCCAACAAGTAAACTTTAGATACAACACTATCGCACTAGAGTCATCGTCCATTTCAATTTCTATCCTCATCCAATAATTATTTTACTCATCTGAGCACGTACTTTGGCCCTAATCTCATCAGATTATTTTTAGTTCAGTTCAGCTCTAATAAGTTCGTTTCAGTTCAGTTCAGCTCCTAATTTCCTTCCCTCATAAAATATTCAGTTCAGTTCAGTTCAGCTCTAATAAGTTCAGTTCAGTTCAATTCAATTCAGGTCAATGAGAACACTCTTTATCTAATCTAAAATCCATCTCATATACAAAGATAACTTGTGGATGTTTATGGATAGAGATTTCCTTACCTCCGCTCTCAAGTATTTGGCCTACGGCCAAAAATAAATCAATCTCCTTACTCGATTTATTTTCTTAAAGAGTTTGGGCGTTTGGCCAATGACCAATCAATATTAATTTGAAAGATATTAAATAACGAGTCAAAAACTTTTGCTTAATTTATCTTATCTACCCATCTTAAATAATTGAATCACAGCTAGTGACATTGTAAAATAGAGTATTTTTTATAGAATACGGCGGAGTACTATTTTGTCCTTTTAAATAAGGCAAAGTTGTGCCCCGCAGATCCAAGTAGCCCCCTAAACATCGCAATTACAAAGTTGCTTAAATCGATCGATTGTACCTTTGTACGTACTTTGTGACTCATTCGTAAAAAATAAACAAAGTTGCTGAATAATAATACAGAGTAATAATAATTAATAATAACCAGACCAAGACAAAGGAAATTATATGAGCATATATGCCAATTTGCATGTGACACTCATCTACTCGTATTACAACTCAACTAAAGACTGAATATATGAATTGAATAAAGTAATAGTTGTAACTTAAGAAAACAAAGTGAATCTGAGTATGAGACAATAAAATCAGATGATAGAAGATAGAACCACCGTTAGTTTCTCTTTACTAGAATCTATCTTTCAAGTTGCATCTATCGTTATCATACCAAAGTATAAGTTTAAAGTATTTTCATGCCTACTTTTGTCAGCCTCTTAATAGTCTTTATTGTTTTTACATGGTAATTAAGGAGATTCGGATATACTTCATTAAGGCCTTCATAAATTCATTACATCTCAAACACAATTATTTTTGTATAATCATAAAGAATAGATAATTATTTTAAAAACTACCAATAGACATAGACACGATCACACGACTAACAGTCCAACTCGTATACAGAGTATTACATGTCTCCGTAATTACATGAGATAACCTCCACGGAATGCAACTATCCAAAAGACTTCAATACCTTCACAACTATTTTTCTTTGGTCAGGTCAACTGAGAATTGAGTTATTTGGCAACTTGCTTTGCTATAATGTACTACAGTACTAGTAAACACTGCGATAGAATTATTGAGTTGTATATAAATTGATGGTACCCACAGTTTATACAGATTAAAACACATGATAATTATTTAGTCTTACATGTTTTTTTTTTGAATAAAAATTGTGACAAAGTCAAAACTTTGTTTTCATGAGAATTTGATATGAAATACGAGTAGTTCCACTAGTAGAAAAAGGCTTATTTACGTCGCTCATTTATAGTGTATTTGCGTCGCTTCTATGAGCGACGCAACTGCTCGCGACGCAAATGACTCAATAGTCATTTGCGTCGCTCCTAGGCGCGACGCAAATGACTTTTTTGATAAACTTATTTTTTGTCATTTACGTCGCTCCTTTATAAATAAGCGACACAAATGACTTTTCTGATAAACTTATTTTTTGTCATTTGCGTCACTCTTTTATAAAGGAGCGACGCAAATGACTTTTCTGATTAACTTATTTTTTGTTATTTGCGTCACTCCTTTATAAAAGAGCGACGCAAATGACTTTTCTGATAAACTTATTTTTAGTCATTTGCGTCGCTCCTTTATAAACAAGCGACGCAAATGACTCTTCAGATAAACTTTTTTTGTTATTTGCGTCGCTCCTTTATAAACAAGCGACGCAAATTACTCTTCCAATTAACTTATTTTTTGTTATTTGCGTCACTTGTTTATATAGGAGTGACGCAAATGACTGAGTAGACAATACAAAACTGTTGTATTTGCGTCACTTGTTTGTTTAATGAGTGACGCAAATGAGGTGAATTTTTTTTTTTAAAATTATAATATAATAATTGCCTTGTATATGTTTGTAGTACCTGTTTTCCTAGGTATAAAGTAATATGCTAACGCTAATATAATTGAAATTAAAATGCAATATTATTGAATAATGCGAATGTAAATTTCGGCAGTCTCCTTTGTAATTTGGCCTACCCATAAAATTGGGAATGACGGCATTATATTAACAACCTGTCCAATAATTTACATCTCAATATCATAGACTTTATACTCATCATCCCAACACCAAATTACTTCATTTCAAGCCTATAATCCAAAACAAGAGTCAAACATTACATATAAAATACTCTGCCCAAATATCTCGGATCTCATTTATCTCCTCCTCGGTGTACGGTTTAGTTCTTGAAAAATCCTATCAACACAACAAATATACAAGAGGAAAGTTTTAATTAAAGATTGTAGCTAACATCAAATTGTATTTATCAAACAAAAATGAAATATTTGACAACTCATACCTGAATAAGATCTTCACTGCTATGGTGATGTTCAAGTATTTCGTACATATAACGCATGACGTAGTAGCCACACTCACGTCCAACCAATTGTTGAAGACACTACATTTAATATATTTGTAAGTTGAATTAAATTGCTATACTTCAATTATTAAGAAACTAAAAGTTAGGGTAAGAAATTAAGGTAACCTGTCCCAAATGCCATGTCAATTTACTTCCCCTAGATTGTCCACTTAATGCCTTAAAACTTCGAAAAGCACTACACATTTGAAGAACAGTCCCAAATCGGGAAATAGTGAGCCATGATCTTCTTAGACCCAAAACAATTCAAGTAGTTATCACCTAAATGAGATAAAAAATTCAAGAACAGTCCCAAACCGAGGACTATTCAAGACTTACTCCTAATGAGTAAGCCCTGAACGGGTATCTAAGCCAATGATGCAAGTATTATTGCAATTCCAATCAATTATATCACAATTAAAAATCTCATACAATTCACAATCATTATACCAACCAGAACAAATAAGTTAATATTGCAAAGAATGGTTCAGATATATATACCACAAGTGAAGACAATCTCGTATGCGTACTACCGCCTTAATCGTTTGTCCACAACCAGAACCTCGAGCAACTTGTGGAATTCACTTGAATCTGCCATAAAAAATTACATATATTAAACCAACATAGTTGATTCAACTTAATCTGCCATGTGACATAAAAGTTGTTATTCGGCATTGCTTATTAGCCAATCATGGTGTAAAACTTGAAGACCTGAAACGAGTGTTAAATGCTAGGTCCAACTTAATCTGCCATGTGAAATAAATGCTAGAGCAATAAGACATACCGAATCAATGTTATACATTGCCAATGCGACTCCAGGCCCTTTAAAGTCGTGTACATCATGATCCTTTCCAGTTTCCATCCTCTGGGACTGCATGATAATAAAATCCACTTATCAAGGATTATATTATATTCTGTAGACAGTGATTTACCTGTGCTGCTTTCCTACTGAGAATTGACTATAAAATGCAGACACAATTAAAGAGACCACAATATTCATACCGAATAGCAATTTAAGCTTTCCAAGACCTGGGATGAGTGTATCAGTGGCTCGATATTGATCACCAAAAGCATGTCTGCCAATACAAAAGAAGCCAAAGGACATGAGTGACAGTGTTATGATTTAAAAGAGCATGACGGTAAGAACGATTTGAAAGGCAAATAATCATACCAGAAACAATCCTAGGAATGTTCTTACACAAGATTGGCTCACGGAAAACAGTCCCTACAAAAACTAGGGTTAATAATGCCTTCTTCAAAACCAATCATATGCCAAACAAGAGCGGTTAAATAAGGAACCACATACGGAGTAATACATAAGCTGAGTTTGCCTACTGCCTTGCCAAGCACCAACTCACTAACAAATCAGTATCAGATTTGCCAGTTTTAAGAGAGGTAGCCAAAACAGAAAACTTTGATTGGAAAAACAGTCAAGGAAACTGGAAACTAGTTTTAAGATAACTCCATTAGCATTCAATGGACTAAATCCAACCAACTTATCTTTTAAGATTCCTAATAATTAGATGGACTAAAATGGATGATGATACTCCAATATCACGTACCCAACGCCTTTTCCTCTTTTCACTTTATAGTTCCTAGTCTTTTATAAAGTAATGGAGAAAATATAAAGCTAACCATTTGTCCACGCTTAGAGCCACTGTTTTATCAACCCAACATAGCACACTTTTCACAAGCATCAGTTCTGAAACTGAAATTTGTGGCATACTTGGTAGTATATAAAACTCCGCCCCTTCAAATACCCACCAGTTAATATAATTAAACCCATAATTAACAACCAAGTTTTGATTAATTTTCCTACAATACTATCACATGCAACATCTACATGCATGATTATTTCTAGTATTCTGTAAATTGAATTTTGTAACTGAAAATTATTTCACTTGTTTGGGTGTTTAACAGGCTATATGCTCAAATTGCAGTAACGGAGTTATAGTAATTAAATTATCCTACCATATGTAAAGACGGCGAAAGCGGAATTCTGGGTACACCCATCCATAATTATTCCAAGAAAGTTCTCTTGGGCAATTTATCAGTCAATTTAAGTACATACATTTCCAATTTTCAATGCAATTAGCCAAGAATTATTATGTGTATTCCATTATCAGATGACCTAGTAATTGTGTTCTTAATTATTATTATGTGTATTATAATTATTATTATGACTAAAATTATAAAAATTCAATTAAATCTGCCATATAATTTCTAATTAGTGAACTAACACTAAACTTGAAATTAAACTAAGTCATTGTTCAAGTTAAATGCTACATTCTATCTATCATCAAAAGATTGAACATAAATAGAAGCAATCTTACCATAGGTGAACTTGATTTAAAAAATTCAATAATGTCGAGCCGAAATCGATTTTTGGGGGCGAAAATTCAGCGATTTTTCCACTCGAAAATTTCAGTTATTGCTCGAATTTTTTCAGCAGGATTTTTAATTGAATTTTTTGGGGTTTCTAGGGTTCGAATTCGTATGGAATTGAGTACATTTTTTGCTCAAAATGGGGGATTTTTGGTCGAAAATAATCAATTTTTCTGGGGTTTAAGGATTCGAATTAATTAGGGTTTTTGGTCTAAATTTTTGCTCAAAATTGCTCGGATTTGCTGCCGATTATGGGTGTTGAACTTGATTGCGATTTTGGATGTTGAATTTGCTGGGGAATTGCAGTTTTTTGGGCGAATTTGTGGGTGTTTTTTGGGCGAATTTGTTGGATTGAAGGGTCGATTTTGGATGTTGAATTTGTTGCAACTCTGTTTTTTTCTTTATTTTTAGTGAATTAGTGAAAGGTAGGCGTGAAAAGCTAAGGTCAAAAAGGATAACCTAAAGTGCAACAGAGTTATTTGCGTCACTTTATAATAAAAATGCGACGCAAATAACAAAATCTGAAATGCTGAAAATTTGTTATTTGCGTCGCTCATTTATTAAAGGAGTGACGCAATTTATTCACTGCCTTATTTGCGTCGCTTGTCAGTAAATGCGTGACGCAAATAAGTTTATTATTTGCGTCGCTTCAATAAATAGGAGTGACGCAAATGATAGAAAGCTAACATACACTTGTTTTTTTGCGTCGCTTCTTTAATAACAAGCGACGCAAATAACTTTAAAGGAGGGTAAAAATACACATTTGCTTCGTTCTTTAGAATGAGTGATGCAAATATGGCGACGCAAATGAGCTTTTTTCTACTAGTGTTCCATGCGTAATAGTTGTAAAGTTTATTAAATTAGTTGCAATCAATAATTGTCAAGTTGTCACCCCCACCCCCACCCACCATCAAAACATGTTATTATATATGATGTGACATTGCACACAGTACGTATTATAAATCTGAAAAATCCGGATAGGATCTATCTATCCCTGGCTTAATTCTAGAAAATCATATTTTTATTAACTATTAGGGGTGTGTTCGATCTCTTTAATTATTTGCCCTTATAATAATAACTTTATTCCACTGATAATTATAACATATACGAAGTATGAATCATCGAGTTCAATCAAGTGTAAACACAAATTGATCAATAAGTTCAATTCAATTCAATTTGTGTGCGTAATTGCTGGGTATATGAAAAACTAGGGATACCTTTTTTCAATCATACATGCATGTTAGGTAATGATACAGTTAATTACTCCATTGCCACATAAACTAACATGGGACATATTTTGCAAATAAAAAAAATAAAATAATACCCCACTTGATATGAGTAGTTCTCCATTATTCTAAATATGTACCTTCACCAATAAAGTTTCATGAAAAGTCCTAAACAAATCTGGGGTAGCAAATTGAAGTTTTTTTTTAATGTACTGTGTATGTCATGATCAGACGACAATAGTCATGTACCTTAGTCGTTTAATTAATGTATTTGAGAGGTTGGGGATTTTGTGTTTAACAAGGGTCACAAAGAAAGCAAATGAAATAAACGGGTAAAATCTTCGAGGCGTGAACGGGATCACTTTCCCAAAAGTATAATTCCGACCCTATACTACAACCGGGTTTCACGGAAATTTACTTAGGAGATACAACGAAAAACAATTGCAATCACAAGTAGGATGATTACAATTCAATGTAGATAAGTGTATGTGATTTATGATGATGATAAATATAGAGTTTGCAAAAGACCTTCAAGAGAAAAACTAAGTTTCGGATCTTTTCCTTGAAATATATCCAACATATGTTCACTGAACATATTTATATATAAAGCAAAAGAAACCAACAGCCACAAAGTAACTGTCAAACAACCAAGCAAAACTAACAAGAAAACCGTCAGTTTCTAAACTCCTCTGACACGCGCACCCGATCGGGCGCACGCGCACCCGATCGGGCCTGCCGCCGCCCGATCGGGCTAACTGGAACGTCAGAATTTAACTTCCTCTCGCGCTCGATCAGGCGAGCACCACCCAGATCGGGCGGTGAACCGGGCTAGCTGCTATTACTTCTCTAAACCGCGAAGTGTTCTGCCTACCTTCAACCTTTTTACCAAGGTTAATTAATCTTGTTATTTGCTTTAATAATCTTGTTTAATTAATCTACAACACCATATCCTAAGTAAATTAATTAATTACATGAATTTTGTCTCCAATTCTCAAAATAATTCAACAGGAGAGGTACATTCTCAAATTTTTTTAATCACTTTATGAGTTTATAAGTTTGACAATATAAAAGGTTCTTACATATTCATAGCCAATTAAATTAATTTTTGTCACCTATTTTTGAGGGTGTTCCACGTAGTTGATTGTGTCTTTTGGTTATAGTGAGACTTGTGTTGCGTAAAAATGTGTAATACGTTGAATTATGGAGTAAATATTCGTATAATTCTGATGATAACAAAGCAAATTGATATTCGTATGTATTAGATTATATTTAGGTATAGTAAATTCCATCACTAACAGAATATATTGTGTAAGATAATAAGGAGGAGTATATATAATATGAGGTAATTTAACTATTAGCTAGTTACACTTTTCGTTTTTTTAAGTGTAACAGTTTGACCTGCATGTTATAGTTTATAGAAAAGTGAATTGAATGATGTAAAATATTGTGTAAGTGAAGTTTGTTGAGAATAAATAATCGATGCATTAAAAAAAAAGAGAAGCAACTTGGACAAAAAGAAACGAAGTGACTTAGACAAATCGTTTTTGTCAATAACCTCCGACCAATCAATCGAATATTGATTAATACGTAATCGACGGAACACTACTTGAAAACGGCTCTTCTACTCAGAAACGAAATGTTCCAAATGTTCTTGGAAATTCTTACTTCCATTGAACCATTTGTATCTATATGCATCAGGATCCCGATTCATGAATCTCTCGGTTCGAGAAATCAAATTAAGATGATCTAGTATGATAACTAATTATTATAAGTTGACCAATGATGTAAATGAAATTAAACTTCAAGTTGAATTGAAGCATAACATTAGTTTGTACATGCAGAATGAATTTAAGATAAATTATTGATGTAAGATAAAGTAGGGCAAGCATGCATATTTCATCTATTGCAATTGCGGAAGAATTATAATTAAATTTCGAGCAGATAGTTTATTTGGCATCATAAAAAAAAACGATACAAGTTATACAACTAACTAAATAAAAGTAAGAACTACCATTCATGTGTATATCGTAATTTTTTTATTACCTAAATTTATTCGAATAAAAATTATTTAATTAGGATTGACTCAACCTAATAACACATGTTTATATTTGATTGAATCTGATCAACCCTAATTATACTCCATAGTTGATAAATCATCCTAAAACTTTTTTTTTATTTTATTTTATTTTTTATTTTTTATTTTTTACAATTGAATGAGAAAAACGCTCTCATAATAATTTTTTTGGTGCAAAGTTTCACGATATATTAATAAATGTAAATCCATCCCACCTATGTCTCTTTATTACTCATTTATTACATTATGAAGTGGAAAATTCTCAATGACACATAATTAATTAAATAATTATTCTTTAATACTCCATCATTGTCCTACCCTAATTATAGTGATACATTAATTTATTCAATTATGGTAAGGTATCACCCCGTTGAAATTTGGTCCCCAAATGGACAGAAATCGCAATCATACTCCACAAGGCCATACCCCCAATTTCAACCAAAGACATATGCACTATATGCTACTCGATCTAAAAGCGCATCACATCGCATGTGACAACATTAACGTTACAACTCACTAAAAATACAATGATACAAGATTGTACTTTTTTAAGATCCATTGCATTTAGGACAAATCATACCTCCCTTCATCACTTTTTAATTAAGATATTATTATTATTATTAGGAATTTAGATCTTGCTAACAAACATCCGTACGACGTTAGATATGCATTAAAAATCATATCATCATATAACTAATATATAAAGCTAAAGTTTTAGTCAGGTCAACTAATATATAAAGCTAAACTTTTAGTCATGTCAACTAATATATAAAGCTAAACTTTTAGCCAGGTCACGAGGCAGCGACACTTGGCGTTCCAACTTTTCGCCAAGTGTCGCGCCACGTTGGATAGATAGATTTAAATAAACATCATAAGATAAAAAAGTTAGTTTAGATTTTTATTTTAGATAAAATACCAATGTTTTAGATGTACAAATTGAATTATTATTTTATTCAAAAAAATTATTAGATAATTATTTAAAAAAATTATCATATAAATTTATTTTTTATATCATAACATTTTATCGGAGCGAAGGAAGTAGTTCAATGCGTAAAACATACCTTTATAATATATACTAATTGGTTAAAATTATATACTTCACAATCTAATAAAATTTTATTATTATGTAGACATGTCAATTAGGATCGGATCATGAGTCATCTCGGATTGGATCACTTCAAGTTACGAGTCAAGAAATGTTCAACCCTTGTCCAAAGTTTTGGGTTCGGGCAACCCAACGGGCTTTGAACATTTATTTTATTTATTTTATATTTGCTTTTTTTTAATGTATTAAATCGAACATTTCCACTAACATTATTAATAGTCATTACATGTCTACTAGATAGCAAATCGTCACAAAACTACATCAATTCATAACTAATTTTGTATCAATGATATATTTAATAAAATTTGATATAAAAATTAAAAATTTATCTTAAAATTTAATAAACAAATCGGCCATCGCACAGGGCACAAAACTAGTATTTATAAAGTGGTATTTATGTATTAGTTTGAGTATGCAAATCAAAATTACGCGTCAATCAGTGGAGTTAATATAAATTTAATTTAATATTTTTACTGTACTTTCAGTTATTTTATCTAATGATTTTAGGGTATTCGTTTTTTTTGTTTTATTATTATTATTATTATTTATTATTATTATTATTATTATTTTGATGAAAAATAATAATAATAAAAAAAAAAGGATATTATTCATGTATGAAGTATATCTCCCTCAAAATTATGTGACTAATGTCACACACTCACATGATATATTTAATAGTACGTAAGGTACATTGCTTGAAAAGATTAGGTACCTACTTTTTAATATACGAAGTATAATTAGTAATTGCTGTATATTTTGTTTTTTGGTAGTACTACTTGTCTCGCTATAAAAATGGGTGTAGACTTCTGCCATATAGTTGATACAGACAGATGGTTGCAAGTTATAACTAATAGTACGTGTTAGGCATGCACCAATTAAATTTGCACAAGACATAGTATGACACTAAAAGAGGTGTCAATTTTAGATGTAGGTTTCGGAAAATATACATGATAAAGAGGTGCACTAGTTTTTTATATCCCACACCGTAATTTTTTAAGATTATAAATTTAAGGTGCTAATTGAGTAAATAAGGATCGCTGAAATTTGGCTTATTATAACTACATTTGAATTCAAGCAGAATCTCGAAAATTTGGAGCTTAAATAGATAAAACTCAACCTAAGCTTATTAATTTAGCCTTTTCTAGTTTTTTTTTTTTTTTTTTTTTTTGACAAAGAAGCCTTTTCTAGTTATAACTATATTTGCTCTAATTTTTATTAGTTTCTCAACAATTTTATTTAATTTTTTTTTATTAATATTAGGACTACACAAATTTTTATATGTGGTTGGTCACCTCGTTCCGTGTGACCGGAGTTACTTACTAATTCCGGGTTAATCGGTCGGTTAGGGATTACTCGATCAAGAGTTACTTATTATTCAAGAGTTACTCGGTCGATCAGGAGTTATTTTTATACTAGAAAACTCGCCAACTGACTAAATAACTCCAGAATAAGTAATCATTGACCGACTGAGTAACCCCTAAATTAAATAAGTAACCCCGGCAAAAACCGTTAACCGGTTGAGTAACCCAAGAATAAGTAACCATTTACCGACTATGTGACCCCTACATAATTAATCCCGACCATGGTATGGCCAATGACACAAAAAAAGCATTGTTTAGGTTAATTGTTGTACATGAAGAATTAAAAAAAAAAAAAATCAAGCTTCTTAGCTTGAGCCAATGATTTGTGCAACTCATAAAAAATATAATTTGATACATATTTTGAAAATTAATTAATTGAATAGATACATATTTTGATCTGAATTAATAGAATAGGTACATAATTTGCAATTTATAGCTAGAAAATAATTGAAGAATTCAAGAAGAATTCATTCCTCATATATATATATAAATATTAAATGTGTAGACATCTAATATGTTTTAAAATTGAGTGTTTTTATGAAACTTTTTTTTATTTTTATTTTTTTGGTCGAGTTTTATGAACTAACTTTGACACTTGCATAGAAATAAAACAAAATTTTAACTTGCCTATGTTTAACGGTATTTTTTGTGGGGATGGTGTTTAATAAATATAAGCGCAACCAATATAGTTTTAGTTAAAAGTTTTCAAAATTTGAGCTAAAATCAGTATTTTTTGATATTTATCGATCACACACAAAAAAAAAAAAAAAAAAAAAAAAAAAAAACCCACTAATATCGTTAAATTATCACCACTACCCCTAATCACTCTCCCTAAATTTGCATAACTCCCTTTATTATAAGGACAAAATGGAAACTCCAAAATTGTTAATACATACACCACAAAACTTGGAACTCCTCCTCCCTAGAGTTCTACCATTACTAAAACTAACATTATTTTAGAACGGCGAATCTTTAAAATTTCATTTAATCAAAATCAAATCATATACTCCAAAAAAATTAAATAAAATAAATCGAAATGACAAGCTGTCAAAATATAATTGGCTGGGATATCTCTGGAATTATACTGTCACCGTAGGATCATATTCATCGCCACGTCATTATCTATGACTCACGATTTTTAACTCACATGCTTCGGTCGATCCCAATTGATTTTTGTCCTTAAATGTTTCTTCATTCCCTTAAATACCTCTAACTTTTTCATCACAAATTCACAACTTTCAAGAAAATTATAAATTAATTTCTTCTACTCTATTTTATACGGAGTACTTTGTATATACTCCAAATTATTCTTCCAAATCCCCAAAAAAGCATAAACTAGAAGAAAAACAATTATGGGGGATTCTTCTCCTTTGCTTTCAAATCAAAGCGATGATCATAATTCTAGTCAATATGATTATCGTCACCCACCCCGTAATAAAAATCAAATTGTCAATGATCGAATCGAGCAATGCATCGGAAACTTAGGTTGTGCACAAGTTTTCCAGTGTATTCTCGTGTCGTTTGCTTGGGCATTCGACGCCCAGCAAACGTTTATTTCGATTTTTACTGATGCTGAGCCCGCGTGGCATTGCACGTCGGGCTCGTGTGGGACCGATATTTGTGCCATTCCTGCGGGCGCCACTTGGGAGTGGGACGCCCCCAGGAAGGCAACAATTATATCCGAGTATGGCTTGCAATGCGCCAACTCTTTTCTGACGGGGCTCCCGGCCTCATCTTTCTTTATCGGTTGTCTTATTGGTGGCCTTGTATTGGCGACGTTGGCGGACTCATGGCTCGGCCGCAAGAATCTTTTGCTGATCTCGTGCTTAGCGATGTCATTATCAGGTATATTTACAGCATTGTTCTCGGAAAATATATGGATTTACGCGCTTTTGAGATTTGTTTCGGGTTTTGGAAGGGCGGCTATTGGGACGTGTTCATTGGTGTTAGCCACCGAAGTGGTGGGTAAGCAGTGGCGTGGACAAGTTGGTGTGATTGGTTTCGTCTGCTTTTCCTTTGGTTTTCTATCTTTACCCGGTATTGCCTTTTTGACTAATGGTGAATCATGGAGAGCGATGTATATGTGGGCATCGATCCCAGCTTTGGTGTATTGTGTTCTTGTGTTTGTGTTTGTTAGGGAATCCCCGCGCTGGCTTCTTATTCGAGGGCGGCGCGAGGAGGCAATGGATGCGCTAAAAAATATCGCGACCCTACACCAAAGCCAACTCACTTTGAGTTTCTTTGGTGAAGAGGAGGCCCCTCGCGGAGATGACACTGATGTGTACTCCGCGATGAGGGTCTTAATGTCGAGGGCATGGGCCCTTCGACGTCTAGTAACGGTTTCCGTGATGTGTATTGGGATTGGAGTGGTTTATTATGGTATGCCATTAGCCCTTGGTAATTTGCCCTTTAATCTCTATGTGAGTGTCACCCTTAACGCATTGGCGGAATTGCCAGGGTCGTTTTTGACATTTGTTTTGATTAATAGACTAGATAGGAAAATTGCTGTAGTTGGGTTCACATTATTGAGTGGATTGTGCAGCATTTTGGTTGTTGTTGTAGGATATTTTGAGCAATTGATTATCCTACAAGCTGTTCTTGAGATACTTTCATTCCTTAGTGCTGTTTCCGGGTTGAACCTCATGTTGATCTTCACAATCGAGCTATTTCCTACTTGTGTTCGCAACTCGGCCGTGTCTATGGCACGTCAAGCCCTCGTGTTTGGAGGGGCTTTCGCCCCGCCTTTGGTGGCAGCAGGGCGTAAGGATCCGTTCATAGCCTACGGGGTGTTTGGGATTGTGATCGCCGGTTGTGGAATGTTCGCGATATTCTTACCGGAGACCAGGGGAACCGCGCTAGCGGATACCATGGACGAGGAGGAGGACAAGGCACAAAAGCTAGGCAGCTTCTGGGCAACTCACTAATTATTCTTTTGGAGGCTAAGGTGACTGCTTGTTAAGTTGTATGATTGATGATCTGTTTCTTGTCATTGATTATTTAGATTTTTTGGTTTGTTTGTTCTTAGGATGGGGTCAATTTTTGTGGGCAAGTAATACTAGTTGAGCGAAAAAACATAAATACCATAGATGTTATAGCTAGGTTGAGCTAGCTAGTTGGCAATTGAATGTAACATGTTACATATACATACTTTGGTGTATTCCAACTCTATAGTATGAGATGATCCACAATTTTGATTACTTTATTTGTTTACAAATTACTACTACTATTGTTTGTGTTTCCACGGTAATATTGATTGGTAAGGTACTTTAAGCTAGTACTCATTGACAATCAATAATTCCACAAAATTCAAGTGATCTCCAAAAATATTGGTAGGGAGTATATATTGACGAATCTTTGACTCACTTTATTTGGTAGTGGTAGGTTGATGTTTTAGGTTCAACTAGATTTCCATGAGGTTATGATGTTCTTGAACTATTGGTATTTCCATCAATCATTGAGCATCCTAAAATATAATATCCCTAATTTTCTATTCATATGTATTTGTTTTAGAAGAGCATTTGGAGGATTAAATTAAATAGAAGCCTTATAAAGTGGGTTCCTCTTTTGATTTCTTTGATTGAAAAGAGAAATTTTCTTAAAAACATTTATGTTTTATATACTGTACTTCGTTGTAAAATGTGTATCATGTGATATGATAGGGAGGGATAAAAGCGAGGTCAAATGAAATACATTACTTTCTATAAGTACTTGATAAACCTTTTATGTTCATATGAGAACACAAGACAGGTGGGGAAGATGCTATTGAAATTAAACCTAAGATTTATGCCAGCTAACCTAAACTAATCGACTGAAATGGGATGATGTATGTGCAGTTGTACAAGTATAATGCAAATTATGCTGATGCTTTGTTTTCACATATTATAGCTTTGGCAACCTTCATAGACTAGTCTCTAGTGAGCCCAATTAATAGACAACGTCGGTTCAAATTGTCTTTGATGTTGGGCGCCTATTTTTCGATTTTGACTCGGAAACTTTTTAAATAATCTCATTGATGATCCTCCTTCTCTACTTAATGATCAAATTAATTGTACTTATCTTACCTACTAAATAAGAATATGACATGATTATATATTTATATTCTAACATTTTGCTATGAATGAGTATTCTTACACCCAATCACTTTAGATAGCCCATACATCACTCGATCTTAGCAACATTATTGTAAAAATGTCAGTCGCAAACAAATACTAGATGTGAAATTCAACAGTAGTTTTTCCCTACCTACTATACGTTGATCAATAATGTAAAGATAGGGATAAAATTGTTGTCCTGAAAACATGATGAATTGCTTTAATGAATGGATGAAGACAAGGAAAAGACAGCCATTGGATGGCAGTAGTAATATATAATCTCAATTCAAAAATTAATAAGATGTCTTTTTTGGTAATGTATCTTCCAACTCTAGCAGGAAAAGACACCGAAGAGAATAAGTTCCTACTGGCTCAAATAAGCTACTAACTTTAGCTATTAATTAGTAGAAAAAGAGGCTAATTAATGGCGGTGTAAATGTTTTTATTGGCTTGGCTTCAAGTCAAATTAAATAGGTACTGTAGACTTTTTCATAAATTCGGCAAAGCAAACTATTGATTCAGATGTATGGCTGATATTAACGGGTTAAACAAATAAAGTGAACCAGCCAATAGTGAATCGTGAAATAAAGTGTATAGTAGACAGAATCGCTGATGTGTAAATACATGCATGGATTACATACGTATGGCCCCAGACATCTTAGGTATGTGATATTTTTAAAACCACTCTCTTCTATATAAGAATTTAATTCAAACACGATATGTATACTTGTCCGTCATTGTTTAGAATTGACAAAGATGATCACTTTATCTCCAAAACAAGGGGAGGTAAGCAGTGGTCCAAAGCTAAAGATCTGAACAACTTGAGCTAAAGAATCTTGGAAGATCTTACAAATTGAACTAATTTTTATCGAAAACAACTTATACCGACCATTCCAATTGCCAGCTTCATAACTTCATTTAGATGTTTGAGCATTAATATTGGTGGACATTTTTTTTATATTCAAAATTCATGCAAATATTTAAGGGTGGCAATCACGACTTATATTTTTCAATTATAAAGCATCCCTTTCAAGAAACGAAAGATATGGATTTTTAAGTTGGAAACTTAATTGATTGATATTTGATAAGGTCGAATAAAGTAGGAAGTTATATTATGAATTTAATAGCAACTGAAAGTAATTCATTAGCAGCACGTAGTGCAGACAGCTTAGCTCCCTGAATCGATCATTATCATTATGTCGTCAATATAATCAACAAAAACTCTATGATTCCATTCCAAACACGCACATTAGGCTAAGAAAGAAGGAAGAAAGTCTGTATCTATCCACACACACACAAAAATTAATATATTAATCAGTAATTGAAAAGTACTTAGGATGTAATTAGTTTAGACTCGATATATTGAAGTCTAAAATCCAAACTTGAATCCAAAATTTTGAAAATTTTAGAATGAATATCATTCACATTATGAAATTAGTGATACTCAATTTGTTGTTTTATTTTAATTTTTATGCAGTACAACAATAGTTTGATTGAAACCTTTGTGTCGAGACATAACTTTGGCCATCAATATCTCTAATTATGTATTAATAATAATTACTACCTTTAATTTATTTCATATTATTTTTGATGAAACTACTCACACTTTATATCAAATTGTTACAAATAATATGAAATAGAGGTAGTATTATAAGGTATTTCAAACTAAATTGTGACTAATCCAACATATTACATAATAGCTTGTGATTTTGATATAGTAGTGAAAAATTAATTCAAAGTTAGTATAAGAATTGACAAATTGTTGTATTTAAAAAGAAACAGAGAGGCTAAGGCTAACTGATTAATTGACAAGAGAATAGTAAGAACTAAAATATAATTTAAAAGATCAAAATTGGTCCTTCAACAAAAAGAAAATAGTGTTTAGGGGTATGATGACATCTACGTATTAGTAATCAAAACAAACACCCAAATTGTTTGTTTGGACTTAATGTCCCTGAATCACTAATGCATGAAAGTGGCATAATGGGCTTTAGTGAAAGTCAAAAATCTCAAAATATGGCCTATTGTAGATGGTAACGTTATTTGTTGGTCCACTAAACCTCAAAATATGGGCCTAATGGGCTGAGTTGTTACCAAAGTACCTGTAATATATATTTCAAAAAAATGTACTAGTATAAGTTATGTTGGTTGGTGTATTAGCTTTCCGGAGTACAGCGAGGTGCAGAATAATACTGTGTTATATTGTCGATATTGATATTAATTTTCAACAGCAAGTTGAAGCTGCTAATCTTGTTATTGATATAGAATTAAGCAATTTGCTACTTAAAAATGATGCTAAAATATATCCTCAACGCCTGTAAACTTCTGTTCGCAGGCATCACCATAACTTTGATTATCTTAATCAAGCTTACAACAATACTATATTAACCAATTACCAACCATAATTGACTTTGAAATGTATGTCCAGTATCCTATATCAATGGCTTACATTGCGTTAGTAACTTAGCAAGTACTTCCGTTTATTAGGCTAAAGCATGAGAGGAAGAAAATTATTAATCAATGTAGAATTAACTAATAAATACATAGAATTTGAATGGAATATTGGTTATCATTAGAAACTATAACATTTATTATAAGAGATCAAATTGACAAAAATAAACGAAACTAAAAGCATGGAACTTCATGATCATCGATCGAGGAGAAGTTAGTTGTGAGCAATTGTCAAAATGTCTTAACTAGTTAATTTTAGCTGGCATGTTACAGATAGTGCTATATATATTAGGGAGATGAATGTAAAGTCAACTCAAGTAGTATAAATCTAGAAGTACAAACGTAGTTATGCACATGGGACATCTTTGTCAAGAATTAGAACAAGTCAATGAATAAAGTCAATTCAAATTTATACTTAAACTCCATTATTATTATTAACAATATACTCCTTATGAAGTTATGATCTTACTCAATGCACGCATATCTTTGCTTCCTCTAGTACAAAAAAATATACGAACAAGCTAAGTAGTTCATATTCGACGATTAGTCGATCATGAAGTCTACGGCAGAACAGATGAAGGTGGTCCCAATCGCAACGGCTATAAGGCTAGTACTAGTGTTGCTAACAATGCAATTTATGGCAATATCAGCACAAGAAGATTCTACAATGTTAGGGATGTGTTGGCAGAGGTTGTCAAATTGTAATGCTGCGTCGACGGCTTCGAATATGTGCTGTACTGTACTCAAGGAAGATATACGAGAAGACAGGGAGTGTTTTTGCAACGTCAAGTCTATTATCAATGCAAATGTCACTCTTGCCAACACTATGTCTCAACTTCTCTTGGTTTGTGGAGTCCCATCTTCTTATAACACATTATGTCCTGGTAATGTAATTTTGGTAACACTATTATGCTATCTAACATTTCATTCAATTTGTGAAGGGAAATTAATTTGACGATCAATTTCCTTATGATTTTGGTTCAGTGAGAATTAAGAGTACGTATCACTAATTGCATCTTATTTATCTTCCATTTCTCCAAATCCCTTAATTGGTCAGACAACGAAGCGCCTTCACCAACTTTACGTCGTGTGCCATCGCAAAGCCCTACCACCTTGGATGTGCCATCTACACCAATCGGTATAGTATTGTGATATTGTCGTTGTGATCTTCAATTCTACTGTTTACATCTTGATTTACTTATAAATAGATAGATTTAAATGCACGCAAAGCTTAAAGCTTGATTTAATTTTAAAATGATAACCAATTGTAAAGAGTACATGTAAATAATTAATCTGTATTTTTGACATTTTTACCTGAGATCAAGTTAAAGTTGAACATTATTAGTAGGAAGATAAATCACTAACTTGCTTTGTGCATATATAGCAGATACTTCATCAGATGAGACTAGTTCTCTAGATTCAACAACATCTTCCTCATCAATTCGAGGTAATACTTGTATATACTAGTAAAAATAATCTACTGAAAAAGGTATGAAGTACTTTTTTTTTTTTTTTGTTACTTTATTTATCATGTTTGGTCATTGTAATTTGTACTGCACTTTGTTGTACAGGGAAACTTCATATAATAATTCCTGCTGTCGTCGTTGCAATCGTGGCCATGGTTGTGATCGTGACACTAGTCATATGCTTATGCGTTTGTAAGAAAAAACCGAAACCAGAAAAACCTGAAGATGGTAATCATCAAAGCTAATATAGTTGTATATATTAGAATGCCTAATAATTTTACTTATGTAATGCGATCCTTGATTTTATTTTTTCTTGTGTATGTATATAGTGCATGGACTTGTGCAAAAATATGATGCCGCCCTTCCAACTATGACTCCATCTTTCGTAGTTCCAATATCAAATGTCACAAATGATTCTATCTATGGTAATGCTTTTATAACTCGTCTAAATTTAGTTGTCACATCACTAGTTTAAATTACAATATCTATTACTCTATAAGTGAAGACTAAAAAAGGGCATATATATGTATGAATCTATGGTTAATTTAGATCTTTTGATTCTTTATTTATGCGTTATAGAAGGGAATTTGGTTTCTGGTGAATTGCCTCAAACTCCTGCATCAAAGAATGAATTCGTGACTGCTGAATCGTTGCAATATGACCTAAGAACTCTCCAAACAGCCACTAACAACTTCTCTGATCATCTAAAAATCGGTCGTGGTGGATTTGGTGTTGTTTACAAGGTAACTAGGTTTTTCTTGGCTCGCCGCTGTTCACCTCAGTCCAAATACTACTCATTATATGACCAACTTCAAATTCATTTACATCTATTGTTATATTAGAGAAACTAATATATATTCCAAAAATTTATGTTTGTTTTTGGTCAGGGGACATTAGAGGATGGTAGAGAAATAGCTGTGAAAAGACTATCGAACAGCTCTAGGCAAGGTGAAAAGGAATTCAAGAATGAGGTGGTACTATTAGCAAAGCTTCAACATAAAAATTTGGTTAGGTTAGTTGGATTTTGTGTAGCAGATACAGAGAAGCTACTCGTATACGAGTTCGTGCCTAACAAGAGCCTAGACTACTTCCTATTTGGTATTGTACTCTAAAACCTGTTAATCTGTTTTAGTGTAGTGTACTCGAGAGAATTATGTCATTTATGTGATTCCTAACTTGGGAATTCCGGAATTTGTATGACTAATGACATACAGATCCTGAAAAACAAGCGCAAATGAATTGGTCAATGCGCTACAATATTATAAAAGGCATTGCTCGAGGAATGTTGTACCTTCATGAAGACTCCCCTGTTAGAATTATTCATCGCGATCTCAAAGCTGGCAATGTGTTGTTGGATGCGGAGATGAATCCAAAAATTGCTGATTTTGGCATGGCCAGGATATGTTCTTTTGAACAGACACATATAGATACATGTCGCGTTGTTGGTACTTAGTAAGTCATCTATATAACAGTCTACGCTTATTGAATTGTAAGAGTATGGTTCTATATATGTGTGCCTTATTTTGTTATGTTTTCATGAATTGCAGTGGTTACATGGCTCCTGAGTATTTACTTCACGGACAGTTCTCCACGAAATCAGATGTATACAGTTTTGGCGTGTTAGTGTTAGAAATTGTAAGTGGGAGAAGGGTCAACAGTTTTCTTTACCAATCTGAAGCAGGCGAAAACCTTTTGATCTATGTGAGTTTACATTATACTCGGTAAATGTTTTTGCTAAAGAAAAATTATTAAATCTTAGTTAGGCTACCTATTAAAATTACTGCTAAATGGACATATTATACATGTAATTGTACTTTACCATATTATGCTGATAGATTTTATATCATGTATATATCAGGCCTGGAAATGTTACTTGGAAGAAAGAACATGGGAGCTCATAGATAAAACATTAAGTGATTCATGCTCAAATGACGAAGTCATGAAATGCGTGAATTTAGGCCTAATGTGTGTACAAGAGGACGTTACTAGAAGGCCTATAATGGACACAATAGGTCACATACTAAGCTCTAACTATATCGCGTCTAAGGCTCCTTCAATGCCGCCTCAACCCCCATCGTTCTTGTACAGCAGCAGTTCAGATCTATCGGCGACAAGAAGCAACACTAGTTCATTGCCATCTACAACAACAAGAAGTGACTCACATTCACTACCATGGTCTACAAACTGATAGGAAGTTCATTTACTTTGGATCTTAATTGATGAATTGAAACAATTTATTTTCTTGGATAACATCTATATATAAGCAAAATTTCCCCTGTTTTTCAACTATACAAGGCATCTTTATAAAGTACAGAGTATGTATGCATTTTTCACTTCAATGTTATATTCTCTTTTTACCATAATTTATTATGTGGATATATATTCTACATAGACACATAGTATCATATTCTATATGCTCATATATTTATTGAAAGCACCTCAAATAAGAAAATGAGCAAAATTTATAGGTTTTTTTTTTATTTATTTATTTATTTGTTTTTTTTTTAAAAAGGAGCAAAATATTTACATGATTTTTTAAATTGAAGTGGAGAAAGAGCTAATATGATGGCCATCCATGAATGTAGCTAGCTATTGACCAATTAGTACAGACACCTTCAAATAGAAAGCAAGTTGATAATTATTTTTTAAAATTCAAACGTGACCCCATTTCTACTAGTAGACTTTTGATGCATCTTTCATCTTGACCTTATGAAAAAATATTTAATGGAAGTTAGAGAATACAATTAAGTTAGAGATTACAGAAAGTTAGAGAAGAAAGAAATATTTCCAAAAAAAAGCTAAAAAAAATGAGAAAGAAAGAAGAGAACTGGAACAGTTACAACTCCAACATGGAAGTGTTATTGTCAATGATGTTAGGAATTATTTGTTTGTCAATACTTACTCCTTCATCAGCCCAAGATATAGTTAACGAGAAAAATATGCCGGCGTGTTGGGTAAACATAACGAACTGTATGCAAGATCATTTAGACAGGAGTGGATCAGAGCCACAATATAATTCATCAAGCTCGATGTTTAACTTGAGCGAGTTCCTGTGCTGCCCTCTCATACAGCAGACTTCTCAGACAGAGAAGCAGTGTTTCTGTTTTTGTCAACACCTTCCTTAATCAAAATCTCTCTTATGAATCCAATGTAACATTCGTCTTGAGTTATTGCCAGGTTGCGAATTCCCTTACTTCTCTTAATACCTACTGCCAAGGTACGTTTTTCTTTACATTGCTACATAATACTCCCTCCGTCCTTTTATTAGAGTCTCATTTCTAACATTTATTACTCACATAATAAAGAGAAATGAGACTCTAATAAAAGGACGGAGGGAGTATAATATGCTGTAATATCCATTATACAATACAAGCGTTGTATAGTTGAAGGGTAATTATGATAATTTGTTTTGTCCAACAGCTGGATCACCTCCTCCAGATGCTATTGCTTCCGGATCATCATCGTCTCCAATTCTTACTTCAGGTAAGATATCTTTTTGGAATGAGCTTTCCACAAGCTAAGGCAATATGACTTCACAAATTGAGTTTTGAGACTGGCTGTTTTGCTGCAGGAAAACTCAAAATTATTATTCCTGTTGCTGCATCATCAGTATTCATCATACTTTTGGTAATAAGCATAGTTATAGCACTTAAGTGTCGGAAAGGCAAGAAGAAGCCTGAAGATGTAGCAAATTCTCAAAGTGGTAACAATCTTAATTAAAAACTTGTAGATTGAAGACTTGAGCTTAATTAAATTAGTAATAATGTTAAGAAATCTCGCTTATTAGCTTTTTTTTTTTTTTTTTTTTGGATGCTGCAGCAGGGGATGTGCCTCCTCCACTTACAGATGATCAAAGTGTTATAGTTGAGTCCTTGCAATATGAATGGGAAGCCCTCAAGGCCGCCACTAAAAACTTCTCCGATGATCACATGATTGGTCAAGGGGGATTTGGCATCGTATACAAGGTACATTGTAAAATATTAATTAGGAATATTTGCTTATCTTAGGCAACTAAATATCTTAAACAAATAATATCAAATCCTCCAAATTTATCTTAACACCCCCTCAAGTTGGAGCATGGTGGGGATCGTAAATGCCCAACTTGGACAATAGAAAATGAAACTGTCTCTTGCCAAGAGCCTTAGTAAAAATATCCGCCAACTGAGTATCTGTAGGCACATATGATGGTGCAATTAAGCCTTCCGTGATAGCATCTCTCACAAAATGACAGTCAACCTCTATGTGCTTTGTTCTTTCATGAAAAAACGGGTTTTTAGCAATATGCAGAGCCGATTGACTGTCACAAAATAGAGGAATAGCTTTGGGATGATGTACTCCCAAGCTATATATTAAGCCTTTCAACCACTTCAATTCACAGGTTGCCAATGTCATACAACGATATTCGACCTCTGAAGACGACGTAGAGACCGTTGGCTGTTTTTTCGTCTTCCAGGAAATAGGAGATTGGCCTAAGAACACTAGCCAACCCGTCACCGAGCGCCGAGTGAGGGGACAAGCGGCCCAATCTGAGTCACACCACCCCTTAAGCGTCAAATCATTATCTGCACGTAGCAAAATCCCTTTCCCGGGAGTACCCTTCAAGTATCGAACCACACGCAAGGTCGCGTCCCAATGTTCTATTCGTGGACTCTGCATGAACTGAGATAAGATGTGCACGGAATAGGTAAGGTCTGGCCGTGTCACAACAAGATAGACCAACCGTCCAACTAGGCGACGATAAGGCTCCGGATCCGCAAGGAAATCACCCGTTGCGTTACCCAATTTGTGATGTTGTTGCATCGGAAAATCACTAGGCTTTGCACCTGTCAAGCCTGCCTCCGAAATTATGTCTAGCGTGTATTTTCGCTGACACAAAAATAAACCTATCGCACTCCGAGCTACCTCGATGCCAAGAAAATATTTTAAGGGACCCAAGTCTTTCATTTTAAAACAATCACCCAAATATGACTTAAAAGCCAATAATGCAACGGAATCATTTCCAGAAATAATCAAATCATCAACATAGACCAACACATTGATCTGAACTCGCCCTTTAAAAAGCGTAAACAAAGAATAATCAGAGTAGGATTGATGAAAACCTACCCTTTCAAGGCTGCAGTAAGCTTGGCATACCAACAACGAGGAGCCTGCTTCAAACCATATAGAGACTTCTTCAAACGACACACCAACTTGGGATTGTTGCTTTCGAACCCGGGAGGTAATTTCATGTACACCTCTTCGTTAAGATCACCATGTAAAAATGCATTCTGCACATCCATCTGATGTAATTCCCAGTTCTTGCAAGCAACTATAGCCAAGAAAGCTCGAACAGTTGTCATCTTTGCAACCAGAGCAAAAGTCTCATTGTAGTCAATGCCTTCAATTTAATGATTTCCAAAAATCACCAATCTTGACTTCAACCGTTCAACATCACCATTGGACAAATATTTGGTCTTATAGACCCATTGACTACCAAGAGCTCGTTTACCGGGAGGCAACTCTTCCAAAACCCAAGTCCCATTATTTTCTAAGGCTCGGATTTCTTCTTGCATCGATTTTCTCCAACCGTCATGCCTCATTGCTTCCTTGAAGGATTTCGGATCAGTACCCGAAATAACAGCTGCAAGAAAATGACGGTACTTGACAGAAAAATTATCACAATTAATATAGTGTGCTATAGGATACGGGGTACCTGACTTTAGCTGTGGAGACGGTGTAGGCGAAGATGGACTTTGAGCAATAACAGTGTGATTGACATAATCTCGTAAAAGGACCGACGGAATCTTTTCACGCGAACCCCGTCCTAATTCTGCCGAATCTGCGGACTGTACGACTGACTGCTGGCTGTCTCTGGACTGTTCTGGCTGAGCAGTAACCAGCTGGGCAGGTTGACCCTGGGGATGAACTTGCTGCCTCTGCTGGGCAGTCTGTCCCTGGGGATGATCTGTCTACCTCGGCAGGGCAGGCTGCTCCTGGGGCTTGTCTTGCTGCCTCGGTGGGGCATAATTGGTTCATGGCGAAAGAGCTCCTCCCATAAAGCATTCAATTGGCCATAATAAGTAGAAACGGACATGGATTTTGTTTGTTCACAACGTGCTATAGAAGATTTCAATTGATGAATCCGAGGGCCATTAACCAACGCAAAACGCTGTTGAAGATGATCCCAGAGTTTCTTGGCCTCTCGATATTTTGTCAAGGTGGATTTTACCTCTGGATCGATTGTATTCATGATCCAAGATACCAACATTGCATTGATAGTGGTCCAATCGGACTGAGTACAAGGAGAAACAGGACCTGAGATAGTACCATCCAAGAATTCATATTTCCGGCGAGCTTCCAATGCCATACGAATATCGGCAGCCCAATCATCATAGTTGTCACCCTTTAGACGGGTCGGAGTAATAAAATCGCCAGGTCTATCTTGTGATCCTAGGTAAAACGGGGAGGTTGATTCAATTTTTGGTGGTGGTGGGGGTGGTGGCGGTGTATCACCTGCCATGGCTTATACTGTGTTTAAGAAAAAAAAAATCTAGCTCCGATACCATGTAAAATATTAATCAGGAATATTTGCTTAACCTTCATTCATGGCTCTTGACCTAAATATATAGAGTAATACAAGATAAATATGGCAAGAATATTCTCAATATTATCTAGCTTATCTTAGGCAACTAAATATCTTAACCAAATAATATCAAATCATATCAAATCCTCCAAATTTATCTTAACATACATACAAGGAGGAATGATACCAAAATGCCAAATAGACTAGTTGACATCCACACCAAAATAAAACTCTGTGTTTCTATGATTCTTTTGTACTTACAACAAATAGATTTACTAGATAGTAGATTAGTAGATGTAATACTTAATTTATTTCAATAATTGGCTCTTTATTTTTTGTTTAGGGCACTTTACAAAATGGACAAGAAGTTGCAGTAAAAAGGCTATCAAGCGGGTCATGCCAAGGTGAAAAAGAATTTAAAAATGAGGTTGCATTGGTAGCCAAGCTTCAACATAGAAATCTAGTGAAGCTTGAAGGATTTTGCTTGGCAAAGAAAGAAGAAAAGTTACTCGTGTACGAGTTTGTGGCTAACAAAAGTCTTGACTACTTCCTCTTTGGTGATATTTTTATTATTACTCTTTCTGTTCCTTTCTATTCTTTACATATATTCTATTTTACGTGTTCCCTTTTATCATGTTGAATTATGCTTCATCTAGTTACTTCAAATCTTCAATGTGTTACAGATGCTGAAAAGCAAAGACAATTGGATTGGCCAAAGCGATATGACATTATAAAAGGCATTGCTCGAGGATTGCTCTACCTTCATGAAGACTCTCCCATCCGAATTATCCATCGTGATCTCAAGGCAGCCAATGTTTTGTTAGATGAGGAAATGCATCCTAAAATTGCAGACTTTGGCATGGCTAGGATTTTTGACGAAAAAACCTATTGCCATACAAGCAGAATTATTGGGACTTAGTAAGCTAAAATAATTATTAATTTCTATAAGCTTGATCAAAATGAAAAAAAAAGGGGGATATGTAAATGTATGGCGTTACTAAGCATATTTTTTCTCTGTTTCATTATTTGCAGTGGTTATATGGCTCCGGAATATATAATTCATGGACAATTCAACGTAAAATCAGATGTCTACAGCTTTGGCGTGCTAATTTTAGAGATTTTGAGTGGAATAAGGATAAGTGCCACGAGCTATCAATCAGGCATGACTGAAAACCTTCTAAGCTATGTGAGTACATTAACGTTAACACCAAAATTATGTTGATATTTACAAATCTAAGTTTGTAAAAAAAGGAATCACTAAACTTAAATATTGGTGTTATAATTGCAGGGATGGAAATGTTGGAAAGATGGGAGATCATTGGAATTTATAAATCCAACACTAAGAGACTCTTGCTCGAAAACCGAAATCACGAGTTGTATACACCTAGGTTTGTTATGTGTCCAAGAAGATATGAGGAAGAGACCTAGCATGTCAACTATAGCTCTTATGCTCAACTCTAATTTCGCAGTTGGAGCTTTGTCAATGCCCCAACCTCCTGCTTTCATGTATAGTGGAAATGCAGGTCAATCAACAATGAGTAACACGGCTTCAATTCCATGGTCTAGTGGAGCATCAACCAATGACTCGAATACTATGTTGTGACAAAATTAACAATATGTTAGCACATACGAGATTTTTTATGTTTCATAACCATACCCGGTCTATACCATTTCATAGCTCCTAGTTTTTCCTTATAAGAATGCTTAAATTTTGCATTTATGTTTTATAGCCATACTCTACTCTACTCTTCGAGTTTTTCTTGTAATATTTTTGCTAATGTCAACCTCAAATTTAATAACCCAAAACACTTAACCAAGCAATGTTAGCCAAGTAATTTTCGCAACTCGTAAACCAAAGCACGCAAATCAAAGCATTTTTTGCACGCAAGCCAAGGTATTTCAAGTCATTTTTGACGAATTTTGACCATAATTCGATCTTTAAGAGCCAAAATGAACTCTATAACCTTAATGGAATAATAAAGGCATTTCTATTATGAGATTATTGTTTGATTTGTTGAAAGAGGTGTAACTCAAATAACAAAGGCTAATACAAAGCCACGATGTTAATTGTTCATTTATGGATGAGAAAAATTTGGGCCAAAAGGACCCACAAAAATTTCAAGTTGCAAACAATTTATCCTATTAGCCAATTATCCGAAAGCCCCAATATCAGAACTCAACCTCACAATTTGTTATTTATCATCAAATTTTCTCATAAAATTAAAACTTCTAGCAGACCTCACAGAAGTGAGGTTAGAGAGAAGATAGATAATAAAAAGTGAGTAAAAATGGCGGCAGAATCAATGAGAATTACAGGAACACTTGAACCCCTTTGCAATATCAATAATGGGTCTCAAAATAAGCTACTTTCTCTCTCCTCCTCCCACCACCACAGTCGCCGCCGTCTCAACGTGTCTTCTTCTCTCTCCTCCTTCTTCGGGGGTGTTCGAATCAGCAGGTGTAATTCCAGAAATGCCCCTGCTTTGCAGCAACAGAGGAGGAAGTTCTCTGTTTTTGCCATGGTTGCTGATGGTAATATGCTTGTTTCTTTAATATATTGGCGCCCTTTGTGTATTATGTGATGTGGGTTTTTAATTTCTGGAATTTTTTGTGAGTACCCATTTGGTTTTATTGTGTAATTATTGAGATAATTTACTGTTTTGGGGTTCTAGAATTTGGGTTAGTTTTGGCTATAATTGCTCAGGTTAGTTTCAAATTCAATTGTAATTGTGATGTTGTGCTTAATTGAGCTGATAGTTGTTGATTAATGTTAGAATTGATTCTGATAAAGATGTTAATTAAAATTTAAACTTATTTAAGCATTTAATGAGGAAACTGGGTTTTCCCAGAAGAAGAGAGGTGAGGGTGAAGTCTGTTATGAATTCGTTAGTGTATTAAAATGGGAAAATGTTGCCCTATTATATTCTGAGTAACCAATCTTCCTGTAGTTCCCTCACAATTTTGTGAAGTTTCTGCTATGCTAATTGCATATTCGGTAGTAATGTTCATAACGTGGCCCATAAGTTTGGCTCATTGGCTTACAAGGGAAATTGGCTGAAAGGTTTGGTCTTTTCAATTTTCATCCTTGCATCTATCACCTTTGCCAAATGTTTCCCGTTTCCGTCTCTCTGAATGGGCTGTATGACTCTTTTGTTGGGACGTTTCTCTTACATTACAAAGAGAAAATTTATGTTAATAATGATGCTGTAATTTCATCATTACTCATGGTCTTAACCATATGGGCATAACTGTGAATAAAAATGAAAAACAAACTTGTATCTCTTTCACTTTTCTCTGTATTTGACATGTATCAAGTTTTCGCTAAATTTGTGCTGTTACTATTGCCTTTGAATTCTAGCTTATAGTGGAAAAGGTAACTACTTTCCAGGGTTAATATGCTATAACTTGGACTTATAATGAATGAACCATGCCAATTTGTTTAGCATAGTAGTATTGAACTTGAGTTCCTCATGCACATGCATCTTTTTTCTCACAAATTCATTGGTTAGAGCTTGGAAGAAGAATTTTCGTTTTGTAACGTGGGAGTATGAGGATATCCTTGTAGAGACCTTGCCTACGGTTTATTTTTCCTTTGTGGTATTTCAATGGGCAAAGTAGGATGAATCTCTTCCTTATGAGAGGTCATTTAAGTCTATAACTGTGATGTGTGATTAATATACTTGTCAAGCTCGTATGTACTATTGCTTATCGCGACTTTGCGAGTTTGTGATGCCTGTCAGACTTCATTTCTTGTCTGCTGACTTGGAAAATATAATTTTTGTTTTGTGCCAGAGGGCAAGAGGAAAATTCCACTGAAAGATTATCGTAATATTGGAATTATGGCTCATATTGATGCTGGGAAAACTACTACAACTGAGAGGGTCCTGTTCTACACAGGCCGGAACTATAAGATTGGTGAGGTGCATGAAGGAACAGCAACTATGGATTGGATGGAGCAAGAACAAGAAAGAGGGATCACAATCACTTCTGCAGCAACTACAACCTACTGGAATAATCATCGCATCAATATTATTGACACTCCTGGCCATGTCGACTTCACTTTGGAGGTCGAGCGGGCTCTGAGAGTGTTGGATGGTGCTATATGCTTGTTTGACAGTGTTGCTGGGGTGGAGCCACAATCTGAAACTGTGTGGAGGCAAGCAGATAAATATGGTGTGCCCCGTATATGTTTTGTTAATAAGATGGATCGTCTAGGTGCAAATTTCTTCAGAACAAGAGATATGATTGTCACTAATTTGGGTGCAAAGCCCTGTGTAATTCAATTGCCTATTGGTGCGGAGGACAATTTCAAGGGAGTCATTGATCTTGTGAAAATGAGAGCTGTGGTGTGGTCAGGGGAGGAATTGGGTGCAAAATTCAGTTATGAGGAAATTCCCGCAGATCTTCAGGAAATGGCTGCAGATTATCGGGCGCAGCTGATAGAAACTGTAGTAGAATTAGATGATGAGGCTATGGAGGGCTACTTGGAAGGAAAAGAGCCTGATGAGGAAACAATCAAGAAACTAATTAGGAAAGGAACCATCTCAGCCAGTTTTGTTCCTGTTATGTGTGGTTCAGCCTTTAAAAATAAGGGTGTTCAGCCTTTGCTTGATGCCGTAGTAGATTATTTGCCTTCACCTCTTGAATTGCCCCCAATGAAGGGTTCTGATCCAGAAAATCCTGAATTGGAAATAGCGAGGGAGCCAAGTGATGATGCACCATTTTCTGGCTTAGCTTTTAAGATCATGAGCGATCCATTTGTGGGTTCTCTTACATTTGTGAGAGTCTATTCGGGCAAACTAGCAGCCGGATCTTATGTATTGAATGCAAACAAGGGGAAGAAAGAAAGAATTGGTAGGCTTCTGGAAATGCATGCCAACAGCAGAGAGGATGTTAAGGTGGCATTAACAGGTGATATTGTTGCACTTGCTGGACTAAAAGACACCATCACAGGTGAAACACTCTGTGATCCAGAAAAGCCTGTTGTGCTTGAACGTATGGATTTCCCTGATCCTGTCATTAAGGTGGCTATTGAACCCAAGACTAAAGCTGATATTGACAAAATGGCAACTGGTCTGATAAAGCTTGCTCAAGAAGATCCTTCTTTCCACTTCTCACGTGATGAAGAAATCAACCAGACAATCATTGAAGGAATGGGAGAGTTACATCTTGAGATTATTGTTGATCGGCTCAAAAGAGAATTTAAGGTGTGTATCAGTGTTTATTAATTGCATTTGTTTTTATGTCATGTTTGACTCATTTTCTGCATGCCTGCACAAGCTGTCTCTACATTTTTTTGACTCCTTTGCTTGCATCTATGTCATTTATAACCATCTCATCTATTGATTGTAGCACAAAATGCAAATATTTGATTGTTTTCTTGCCAAACCTATTGATTTAATAAGCTTTTCCAACATCTGCTAATTGTTGTACTGGTGTGGAGTTGCCCTTTTCCCCTAATTATGTTGTAGTTAATAACCTGATTTTCTTATCTGCCGCTTTATACAGGTTGAGGCCAATGTTGGCGCACCACAGGTTAACTACCGTGAGAGTATTTCTAAAGTTTCTGAAATCAAGTATGTTCACAAGAAACAGTCAGGTGGCCAAGGACAGTTTGCCGACATCACTGTGCGATTTGAACCTTTAGAGGCTGGAAGTGGATATGAATTTGTCAGTGAAATCAAGGGTGGTGCAGTGCCCAAGGAATATATCCCTGGAGTCATGAAGGGATTGGAAGAGTGCATGAGCAATGGTGTGCTTGCAGGTTTTCCTGTAGTTGATGTACGTGCCGCATTAGTGGATGGTTCTTACCATGATGTTGACTCGAGTGTCTTAGCTTTCCAACTGGCAGCCAGAGGGGCTTTCCGGGAGGGAATGAGAAAGGCCGGTCCAAAGATGTTGGAACCAATTATGAAGGTTGAAGTAGTTACACCTGAAGAACACTTGGGAGATGTTATTGGTGACCTGAACTCCAGGAGAGGGCAAATCAACAGCTTTGGTGATAAGCCTGGTGGTCTCAAGGTATGTTCGCCTTGTCATTGTTATATCACTTGGTACTTATCCACTTCTCCTTGTTATTTTTCTTCCTTCAATCGTTTGTATCTGTTTTTTCAAGCTTATGGTTTTAATGACCATCACCAAAGAGTGAAAGTTATAGGCTTGAACTTAATCTCATCCAATTCTTTGGGTGCTGGCCATGCTGCTCTTAAAACTATGCCTCGTCTTGTTTTCAAAAACACTATGGCTGATGTAAAAGAGGGAATGTCAGTGTATATTAACACCATGCCAAACAGATCTTACCTTAGAATGTATGGCCAACTTTTAGGAAATTTGTAATATTATAAAAAAAAATATCCTTGGTTCCATTTGAGGCAAAAGGACAGGGATTGCTTAGATTGTAGAGAATAAGGTTAAGTAGAGGATGAGAGATACTCCAGAGAAAATTCAGGATTACCTGAAATAAGGTAGCCACTTATTGAGATGTATTTTTTCAGGATAATCTGAAGCTTAGATTGGCCTCAATTAGACACTGGCTGCCAATAGCAATCATGAACTTCGGCTTGGTAGTAATCATGAATTTTCAGAATCAATTATCATTTTTAGCTCAGCTAGTATAACTGTAGAAGGGTGGAAATTATCTGGAGCTCATTAAGAATCTAATTTGCAATGTTGGCTCGCTTTTGAAGGGACAGAATATTTGCCTCATCTAAATGCTAAATTGTGTTGTTACTCATGAATCACCCTTGAATATGTGCAGGTAGTAGACGCCCTTGTTCCATTGGCTGAGATGTTTCAATACGTGAGTACATTGCGAGGAATGACTAAAGGGCGGGCGTCCTACACAATGCAGCTAGCTAAATTCGATGTTGTTCCTCAGCATATCCAGAACCAGCTCGCGGCTTCAAAGGAAGAATTGGTGTCTGCTTAACTTACTACTGCACAATCTGTTAGGTCCCAGTGACAAGAGATTTTGCTGATATCTTGTATTTTAAACATTGATTTTGATATATTCAGCTTTGGTTATGTTTGGCGTCAGCTTACAGCTTTTGTATAGGTAGTCATCATTTGTCAGAAAGATCTCAAATGTAGCACAAAACTCAGTAATATATAATCTGTAAAAGTTGATTAAATTTTTGGAAGTATTTTTTGCTCGTTTTAGAGGTTCTAACGTGGACAGATTTAGGTCCCGTTCTTTTCACCTTAATTTTAAGGAACTGAAATTATTTTTACTGAACTGAAATAAGTTTTGCTGAACTTAAATTATTTTTACTAAACTTAAATTAATTTTACTAAAGTGAAATTATTTTTACTGATTTTCTATTATAATTCTTCTTTAATAAAACTGAATTTTGCTGAACTAGACTTATTTTTACTGAACTGAAATTATTTTTACTTAATATTATTTTTTTAAGGTGAAAAGAACATGGACTTAATCATAATGGTGTATATATATGATTCAAACCAATCAATCAATTAATTAAAATGTTTAATCTCGTAAGTGGAGTTGACTACAGATTTATAATAATTCAAACAGAAAAATAAAAGAAAGAAAAAACAAAAAGCATGTTCAACTCCTACAGAAACAAATATAGCTGAGATAAATGACTTCAATTATACGGAGTAATATTGATAACTACAAGATTTTACTAGTACTAAATAAATCTGACCCTCATGCCAACAAGTTAAGGTTCAAGTCCTTACAAAGCAAGTGCTGTGTTTGCACTTTTGCTGCTAACTGGGAAGTAATCTGTAATACGGAGTACTTTCCAGCAATTTCAACTGAAGATGAAAATTACCCTATGAAGATGAGGGCAATGAAACATAACTTCTTGGAGAGTTAGAATTAGAATACAAAAAGGGTTCGATTTTCAATCAGCTGAACTAACATATTATGGACTGAATGAGCCACAAAGGAATCAATAATCAAAGACGATAAACACAAATACTTCCATAAAAAAAAGTTCAAAATTTCAACAAGAATTAAACTAGATTGATCCACCAATCCAGAATATTACATAGTTGGGGTAGTGCCAAAAACATCAAATGCCAAAGTTGTGTCACTGTTACTAAGAATAGATCAACTTATCACTGTTTCTAAAATAGGATCAACTTATTACATAGCTATCATCTAACTTGAACAATTCCAGCACTGACCAACTTTTGGATCTTACTCATCACCATTGGATTCTTCATATGATCTTGTGCTGCCTTGGGATTCTCCTGGAAGTCTATCAAAACCTGAAATCCAGAGATTCAAACAGCAAAACATAAGTTAAAATATCGAAGGAATGATTTTCTTCCTGACAAAATTGAAGAATAAAGATATTTTATTAAAACAACAATGTCATTAAAATGAGTTTTTTAATTTCAACACCCTCCCCCTCATCAATTGCTAGTAAAATAATACTTCGTAGGTTTTTATACTTTAAACTTCTTTTTGAAAAAATATTGCACTTTCCAAAGATTATTACCTGTCTCATAACAGGATCAGTGAGGATGTTCTGGATTTCTGGGTCCTGCATTCCCTTAGCCTGCAGAGATCAGAAGCACAACTGTCAAGAATTTTAACTCAAAACATAATCTAAAATGAATCATTCATTAACAAGCATAAAACAAGACCTGTCTCTCTTTGAGTTCTTCAGGAGTCAAATCCCCACGGCTTGCTTTATTAATTTGTTGTACACATCTGAAAGAAAGTCATAGCAAAATTTAGTGGTGTAAGAACGTATATTTAAAGGTTGCAACCACACAAATTTCAGGCGTTCTTCTACACACCTTCTCACGCCATCCAACAATTCCTGGTTGTTTGGCTTGAGTTTTAATCCTTCCTGGTAAGTTTCTAATGCCTTCTCATATTCCTTCATGAAGAACTGAACAGCTCCCTTTCTAGTGTACCCCTTAACAAAGGAAGGATCAAGCTCGATGCACTTTTCTGCATCTTTCAATGCTTCTGGCATTGCCCCCAATTTAGTGTAACTTGCAGCTCGGTTGCTGTAAGCCTAAAATGCATCAATAAGTAGCAAAGTGAGTTCAAAATTGATTTAGTGATGATTTATCAAATAAAATAAGTAGTGCAGAACAATCAGTAAAAAGCAGACATACTTTCGCATCTTTAGGGTTCCTCTTGATAGCTTCTGTGTAATGCTTCACAGCTTCGGGATATTTCTGCTCCTTGAAGTACTCATTACCTACATAGACATGTACAGGTTCCAAATTAATGTGCAAATAAATAGCCAGATATAAGGAAACTCACAACACCCTAAACCAAAACAGCTCCCAAGGGTCACAATGTCAAATACTTGTGAATGGAACGAAATAGAATTTCCAACATACAAAAAAAGGTAGTAATACCTTTTTCACGTTCTTCATCAGCTATATTAGGATCAAAATACTCTTGCTGCTCCAAATCTTTCTTTGCTTTTTCAGCATCATTCAGCTTCTTCAGAGTGTCAGGATTACGGTGCTCTGTCAAAGCTTTGTGGAAAGCTTCAATAGCAAGGTCATAGTCCTTTGAAGTCTTTGCAATTTTCGCCAAAGCAGTTCCTTTCCTGGTCAAGGCCCTGGCAACCATTTTGTAGTCTGATCGAAGCTCCCTACCTCTTTCAACAGCTTGGTCACAGTCCTTGATACACTCATCATACTACATAGGGATTTAAAAGCAATGTAAACCAATCAGCAATTATTGGCCGCAAACAGATAAAAACAGATTAGAACAGTTAAGTAAATGAATAACAAAAGGCACAGAGTACACAAATAACCAACAAAAGACACAAAAAGCACAGAGTACACAAATAAACAACAAAAGACACAAAACATAACAGCAGCAGGACAAAGTAACTATAAATAACAACGAACACAAAACAACAAAGAAGAAAACAGAAGACAAGCAAAAATAAACCCACTAAATTAAACAAGATAACTTTAAGCAACAGTAACTACCTCGCAAAAGACACCATTCTTTATTGGTGACAAGCTGACATCTCATCCTTGCACAAATAGCCTAAGTAAGGTGACAAACTTGTGCTACTCTGTACCTTAATTCCAACATCAGTAGCTAACTGGAAGGAACGTGCCCTAGTTGTCTAATGATCTTAACGAATTTATATATTACCGCCCCTAGCTTTCTTTATCCTAACATAAGCTCCTAACCTGAAACTCAACTATGTGTAATCCAAGGCTCATATAGAGAGTAGTCTAATAATCCTTATCTAGTACCAAAGGCAAGGAATAAATGCCTAAGAAGGAACAATTTTTCATGCGGGAAACAAGATTCAAATACTCAACAAAAAAACACAAGTACAAACCAAGGCACATATCAATATATCATCCAATCGAACTATCAACTGAAAACCAAACCAACCCAATTCAGCAATACCTACTTTCCTCCACTAAAACCAACATCTTCCATAATTTACAAGATAAGCCAAAATAAACTGAACATGTTAACTTATAGGACCATTCATAACACAGTTCACTTGGGAAAAAAAAAAAAAAAAAAAAAAAAAAAAAAAAAACTCAATTCTATGCCATAGACTTCATTACCCATCAATATGTACACCCTAACCTCTGAAACCAGAAATAAAAAAAGGGTCTTCAAACTAACAACCAATAATTTGTTACAGAAAAACATGTTCTACCTTATAGAAGTTATTTTTTATAATCTCGGTGAAAAGGTGAATATCATTATCTACCACTAGCAAAATATGGTTTGTAAATCTTTCGCCTAACAACAGCAGTAAATTCATGTCTAGCAGCAAGATAACAACACAGCTACACTTGCAGCCAGAACAGTCAAATTTCTTTATTTACTGATGAAGTAATACAATTTAGGCTAAGCTATACTAATTAACTATTAAAAAATTAATCTTTACAACCTAACTAAAAAGGTTACCATCATGAAGCTAGAATGACAAAGCATTTACATTCATATAATAAACACAGAAATAGCACCTAAACCTCTAACAACCCATCAACTGCAAACCAGCCTACATTAAGTAAATTATCAATTCATATGCCGTGTATATAACTGTAGCACGATTAACCAAACTAATTCACTCGTATTGGCCTATATTACCTTATTATATACTTAAACCCCAAACAAGCATTACACTAAAAAATATCTATAACATTCAAACCCGCCTTGATCAAGCTCCTTTATCCTATGATCAATGTCAAATCAATCATCACAATCAATCTCTAAGTCACATGCCAAAGTTCAATTTTACATCAATCACAAAGCTCAAGACTTCAAACCTAATTTAAACAAAACCAATTAGACAATTGAAATCAAAGAATAAATAAAAGCAATGTAGGAATTTACCTTGCCCATCTCAAGATAAACAGCAGCCCTATTAGTCAAGAAAGATATATCCTCATCATCCAATTCAATAGCCTTACTATAATGTTCAATTGCTTTCTCAAATTCCTTCTTCTTATAAGCTGCATTCCCAGCTTCTTTCTCCTTCTGAGCCAACCCCTTATTCTCCTTCTTCTCCCTCTCTTCTTCATCCTCCTCCACCATCGGCTCGGGTTCGGGTTCCGGTTTCGGCTCCGGCTTTGGCTCAGGTTTAGTCTCAGGCATCTTAAATTCTCTCTCAACAGCGGGCTCCTCGGGCTGAACCTCCATATCCTCAGGCCCATTACCACTCATCATCTTAATATTCAACAAAACCCCAAGAGCTTGCATAACCCTTTGATCCTTCAAGTACATATTCAAGTTATTCGGATTCTTCTGGATTTCCTGCATCATCTTCACAAAATCAGGCTGCTGCAAATACCCACGAGTACCCGGATCCGCAGTTAGCTTGGCCCACATCTCCGGCCCAGAAAAAGCATCCCCAAAAGGAGAAGCAGAGGAGCTACTGGGCCGGGCACCGCGAGAAGCCGCGGATTGAGCGTCGGAAAGCCCAGATTTAAGGGCTTCGTTATTTGGGTCGAATTCAAGACCCTTTTTGTAAGCAGAAATAGCGTCGGAAAAATTATGCAGACCTATATACGCAGCACCCAAACGACTGTAACCCTTAGGCCAATCAGGTTTTAGGTCGACGGTTTTCTGGGCGTCGGTTAAAGCGTCGGAAAAGTTTCCGAGGGAAGCGTGGGCGGCGGATCGATTAGAGTAGAGGACATGATTTATGGGGGCGAGAGAAATAGCGTCGGAAAAGTGTTTAATTGCGTCGGCATAGTTGCCGGAAGAGAAGGCGGCGTTACCCTTTGCTTTAGCTTCGTCTGCCATTGAAGAGAGAGAAAGATAATTTGGGAGGAGAGAGAAAAAGAAAGGGTTTTGGGAGAGTGAAAAGAAATCTGGAAAAAGGGGAGATTAATAGGCGAAGGAAGAAGAGGAGACGAGAGAGTTCTGGCTGTTGTTGGGGAAGGTGAAGTGGTTCTGGAATGTTCTTGGGTTAACGAAGGGTTGGAATTGGGATCTAAGGTGGATGATTTTATGACTGAGGTGGCTTAATTAATTTTTTGGGCTTTTAATTAATTAATGTATGAGCCTAATAGAGAAGAATTGGCCATTCAATTTTGTGTGCTAATCGAGGTCGAAATTACTTGATTGATTTCAATTGGAAGGGAGCAAAAGTGTTTCCTCTATTAATACTGCACTCGGTTCGTTTTACTAATTTGAATTTGAGTTGAACTCAAAGTTTAAGTCGAACAAATAGAAATACTAATCGAGTTCAAATTGTTCTCCAATAGTTTCAAGACTTTTAACTTTTAAGTAGTTCTCATACTCTTACCTAGTGTATCATATCGAAGAATAAGATTTTCATGATGCAACACTATTGAAAATTCACATTCAAAAATATTTGTAAAATGTGAGTGACAACCAAACAACATCCATTAAGCCATTATTTATTTCTTCTTCGACTCCCTCCTTTTCTCTCTAGGATTAAAAAAAATTCGGGTTTCCAAGGCTAAGATTAAATTATCTTCGACTCTTTATATATCTTTAATTTACTCATTATTGTGCTATGTTATTCATCATTTTAAGTGTAATATGTTAGTTACCTTATGCATGTTAGGACAATTTATTATCGTCGAGTATATCAACTCTAAAACAACTAATCATGTTGCTTATCATATCGACAAATCAACTAGGCTTAGACCCTGTTCTTTTGAGTTTCTAGGCAAGTAGAGCAGAACCCTAACATAATTTGTTGATGAAGGATAAAATCTATACTAATTTATTAAAAGGTTCATAAAAAAGTTTATGTGCCATGTAAACCCTTTTTATTATGCCACATCACCTATTCAACCTTTTGGAGGATAAAGAATTTCGAACACCTAACTTCTTATAAGAAGAATTTAACCATCTAAGTTAATTGTCAACTATGTTATAAACAAAAGTAATATTAAAAGTAGTAACTCGAACACCTAACTTCTTATAAGAAGAATTTAACCATTTATGCTAATTATCTACTATGTTTTAAACAGAAGTAATATTAAAAATAATAATTCAGTGCAACGCCCTACACTAGTGAATCTAATTAAATTCAGTTGGAACTTATTTTATTTTATTTTTGACAATGATCCAAAGTAGTACAATTTATTTAGCTCATAAATGGGCTTAGTATAAACAATTCATTTCTGTATCATCATTGAACAATGAGCAAGCTTGTAAATAAACACGGCTATTATAAGAAACTGCCAAATCTCTCAAATCATGAACCATTCTTTCATTTATCTAGTACTATCATGAACAAATGAAAGCTTGTTAATAACTTAACACTACGTAATATAAACAATCAAACATGGCAAGTTTTAAGAAACTCTCACATCTTTTCTAATAACTAAACGTAATGGACTTGCTCACGATGCTGGGCTTACAAACCCATATCCATTTTATTTCAAAATATAAATCTAACGACTTTAAATGGGCCATTCATTGGGCCAATGACATTCTAAAAGGCCTAGTAGATAACCTGGTCCATTGGCCAACGTACTCTACATCAAGCACAGTAACGCACAACAATGCTTCTACACTTTGCTTAAAATATTTATTGCATGACAAATTTGACAATCAAACACCGAATCCATAAGCAAAAGCAAACAAAAGAGAGCATGAAATTCGGCCAAATAATGAGAGGAGAGAGAATTGTTATTGTTAGAAATGTAAAAGAAAGAAATACTGATGAAATAGTAGCTACATACTCCTATAAACGCAACTCCAAAGAGTAACACATGGTTCACGCAGGACATTTCCCAACACTCTTCACCTCTTTCACGTGTCATCTCCTCCTTTTGCATGGCGTTTCTCCCTCTTTTCTTTCTCTCTCTTCCCTTCTCATTAAACCTCTACCTATATTTCATTCTCTTTTTTTTATATTATTACCCACTTTTCTTACATCTTTTTTACAAGTATGGCAAGTATGAGTTCTGCCTTGAGAATTCTTGCACTTTTAGCATGTTTCTCTCTTCAATTGACATGGCTTTCTCAAGCTATAAACAGGTGGGAGTCCAACATCCGCTTGCCTACTGATCATATGAAACCACAAGAACCGGCCGAGGACGACGGTGAGGTTGGTACTACTTGGGCTCTTCTTGTTGCCGGTTCTCAAGGCTTTGGTAATTATAGGCACCAGGTATATATTTTCACTTTACAACCAAGGCTATTTCTTTGTTTATGTGTTTGTACCTTGTTGTATTGGGACAATCGTGCACGGGGTACAACCGGTTGTATACTTGTATTTGTATACAGAAAAGTGAATTGCTCTAGTTTTTAAGTTGTACAATTAGAGGTTTTTCACTTAATTTAATTCTTCTTTGCTCTTTGCAGGCAGATATTTGTCATGCATATCAGATATTAAAAAGAGGAGGATTAAAAGATGAGAATATAGTTGTGTTTATGTATGATGATATTGCTGATAATCCGCTTAATCCTAGGAAAGGTGTTATTATCAATCATCCTAATGCCAAGGATGTCTATGCTGGTGTTCCTAAGGTAATTAACCTTACCAATTTCATTTTTTTCAGATTATAGTATTGCGAGATTCCATATTATTTAAATCTTGTGCATTAATTTTATTTGTTTTCTCATAAATAAAATTCAAGTCATCAATTAAATAATGCATGCAAAGTTGCAAACTCATGAAAAATTGCTCTAAAAAATAAGTTTTACAAACCCAAGTACATAAGTCCCACATCGGAAAATTATTAGAAGATTAAGCACTTAATATATCTCCATTAGAATATTACCAATCGCTGAGCTTGGTAACGTGAGCTTGTAACCCAAGTGGGAGCATTAAAATGATGGAACACGTTCTAGGCCTCGTGGGTCGGGTCAAGGGTTGGCAGTATGCTGGCTCGCCCCATCCAAGTTGGGAGTTGGTCCATGTGGCTTGAGCGAAGGCTTGAGTCTCATGGATCCTAAAGTGGAGGGAACCGCGTGAGGCTGGTTTCACAGAGCAACGAAAACCTCCCGCTTCTGTCAGTGGAAGGATAACGGGCTTGCGCCTCCCTGGCCCATTAGTACTCAGCTGGCTCAGATCTTAATTGGACCATCACTTTTTTTATTTTATTTTTTAGGGGTGCTTTTGGTGCTGTTTGTAGGACCAATGCAGCTTACTTACATGTAAAGTTTGATTAAATATTGTAGTCGAGGAAGCAATTAGGATGTTCATCTCATTTTATTGCATTTCGTAGTCGGGATATGGGTCCATATAAGTCCCTATAATCCTATATGCATCATTTGTGGTGCTCGAACTCTTCATTTCACTTAATAGTATTCTTAGGGCTGTTAGGAGTTTGGACCTAAATGGCTAAATGTATCGTCTTTGGAAAATAGTTGAGCAAGGCAGGGTAATGTATATCTATGTGGGCTGTCTGATGTGAGTATCATAGTTGGAGCATCACCTATTTATAGGAAAGGTAGTTTTCTAGGAGCAATTCAACTTACTATATATATATATATATAGTTTAATTAAATTAGCTTTTATGGTTAGAGGAAGTTATTACGATGTCCTTACATAACATCAATATTGTATTGCTCGGACTATTCATGTCTATGCGTAATTGGATATAAACACTTGAGACCAAAGAACTATGGAAAAATAGCTGAGTCTAGGCAGGGTCGTGTGTTTATATGGGCTGCCTCCTGTCTGATGTGGTATTTGAATTCAAGTAACATTGCTCATCGACTTGTTTGATGCTTAAGGTGTGGCTTTTATCTACTACAGGATTATACTGGGGAGCATGTCACAGCGGAGAACATGTTTGCAGCGCTTCTTGGGAACAAGAAAGCTGTAAAAGGTGGCAGTGGAAAGGTCATTGATAGCAAACCGAATGACAGGATCTTTATATACTACTCTGATCATGGAGGTCCTGGTGTGTTGGGTTAGTGCCTCTATATTTTTCTACATTGTATTCATAGATTGTCCGAAGACTAGAGGTCTTAGTTTCAAGTACACGTAGTAGAACATTGTGGTCTTGTACTGATGAAATTGGTTTGCTACTTTCATATTGAATCAATTGATTGCCTGTAATGCTATGATATATGCAGTCGAGGCTTTTAATCTGACCTGAGCTTTTGGTGAGTTTGCTTGCAGGTATGCCTAATATGCCATTCCTTTATGGCAAGGACTTTGTAGAGGTTTTAAAGAAAAAATACGCATCAAAAAGTTACAAGGAAATGGTAAGTGGGTGTCGATTTATAATTAGTACACAATTTAAATTTTGTATATTAAAAACTGCACACTAATCTTTTCCTGTACACAGGTAATATACATTGAAGCTTGCGAAAGTGGTAGTGTTTTTGAGGGCTTGATGCCTGAAGATCTGAACATATATGTTACAACAGCTTCAAATGCTGAAGAGAGTAGCTGGGGAACTTACTGTCCTGGTATGGACCCTGCACCACCTCCAGAGTTCATGACGTGCTTGGGCGATTTATATAGTATTGCCTGGATGGAAGACAGGTGATTTTCCTGTCAATTCGGCTGATAAATTTCTAATCCATTGCTTGATTAACAAATCTTACAATCTCTAAATTCAGTGTTAATCATTATAAGCATAATTATATCTATATATAAATTCTTTTTACAAAATTTTGGTCTGCAGTGAGACACACAATTTGAAGAAAGAAACGATTGCACAACAAGTTAAGAAGGTAAGGCTAATAGGAGCTCAGTGAGGTAGAATAGCATAGTTCTGTAGAGCGAAACTGGTAATTCTTGTTAATATTGGATGATGAGTTTGATCTGGCGCAGGTAAAGGACAGAACTTCAAATTTCAACACCTACACAGCAGGTTCCCATGTCATGGAATACGGAAATAAAAGCATTAAACCAGAGAAAGTTTATCTATACCAAGGCTTTGATCCAGCAACTGCAAACCTTCCTGCTAACTCAGTGCCTCGTGATATTGAGTTGGGCGTTGTCAATCAACGAGATGCAGACATTCTTTTCCTTTGGGAAAAGGTACTTGAGCCCAATTCTCCTTCATTTTTGATGACTGTTTATAGCTTATGTTTACTCTTGATTGTATACACCACTTTAAGTACCTTTGTTGGATACTTGACACTAATGCGTATACTCAATGCCACAGTAGTATAGCATATGTTTACTTAATACTTTTTTCCTTATAAGTCTGCTATCCTTGAGCCTAAAATATGTATACCAATAGTGCAATTGTTAACCTATCCCATGGGCTTGGGAATTTTTTTTTTTTTTACATGTTACACTTCATTTTAGATCAAAAGATGCTTAACTTACATAAATTGGTCAATTCTGAATCTTGGACTTGTATCTATGTCTGTCACTACTCAATAGTCACCAACTTCGGGTAAGGGTAGCATAGTTAACAGATAGCAGTTTATAGACTGAAAGTCTATTGCGCATCTCTTGCAGTATGAAAGATCAAAGGAGGAACCTGAGGAGAAGCATAAGATTCTTAAAGAGATAACTGAGACTATGAAGCACAGAAGCCACCTTGACAGCAGCATTGAATTGATCGGTAAACTTTTATTTGGACTAAACAATGGTCCTTCGGTCCTACGTGCAAAGCCAAGCCGTGGAATGCCTCTTGTGGATGATTGGGATTGCTTGAAATCAATGGTAATTAATAAAATTTGTATTCTTAGTTGATTGCGTAGTAACAGGACATGTAGCTAAATTTCTGTTATTTTGAACTTAATTAACAGTGAAAACTTTCATATCTTCAGGTTCGGGTGTTTGAGAAAGAATGTGGGACCTTAACTCAATACGGGATGAAACATATGCGGGCCTTTGCAAACATCTGCAACAAGGATATTCCGCTATCAGTAATGCAAGAAGCTTGTGTTGCAGCTTGCAGTGGGCACAACTCTGGCCAGTGGCATCCATCATTCCATGGTTATAGTGCTTAACTGGCTTTTCAGTTGTTATATAATGCTACATATTACTGTATCATATGTGTGAATGTGTTGTTAGACGGTTAGACTAGACCACAACACGGTGATATACTACGGTCCAGAAAGTGACTACTCTGTAGTGTGTTATGTGGTCAATTGCCCAGCTTACGTGCTTAATCAGTGCATTTGTTCATTAAATATTTTGCATAATTGGCACTTTCATGGGGTATGTACTATGCCCACTATGGTCCCTTAGGACCCTTACCCCAAGACGTGAGGTCGAATTCTACCTCTTGGTTTTCCCCACGTAGATTCGATTGGGATGTTTTAACGAGCACGAGTTCAATAATGTAGGTTATATATACTCATGCTTGAGATATATTGAGGGATGTTTCTAGATTTTACGTTTAGTTTGCAGATATGTTCTCTTATGTAGGGTATGGTTCCCTACAACATTAATCACCCCTAATCCTAGCCCTTATGTTGGGGATGTTTTCTTATGCAGGAGATATAAACCAAAACAGTTTGTGGAATTTACTTAATTACCCCTAATCCTAGCCCTTATTTTCATGTTATTCTCACTATAATGTTACAATTTAGCTTCAAGATTAAAAACAACTAATAGTCCAAATTTATAAAATGTAACAACTTATTCTAGACATTTTAATTAGGTAAGGTCATTCAGAGTATTGTTGTGTTATTTAAACATATACTTCGTAGTATTTATCATGTGTGATAGAGATCATCGTTAATAACACGTGTGTTCAATGTAAGAAATATTAGTTCAATTTCAGTTTGATTATGGAGTATTTTGTATATAACAAGTCTTCGAAAGGGCTGGTGAAGTGCTCTTCTCCTGAAGAAATATATAGGAGGATACTATTAAAGTACGGAGTAGTTAAACAACAATAAAAATCATGTCGAGGATCATTATTAATTGTGCATGTTATTTGCACATTGACTAAGATTACATACACTAAAGATTTTGATTCTTCATGAAATACATAAACTAAGTAACAATTTCACAACTTCGATAAAAAAATTATTTGCTAATATACATGTGGGCCTGAACCCAAGATTTGATATTCGATATGTAATGCGAGGAAAGTGGACTTTGCGATTTTATAATCGATTTGGGTTCAGCTAATGGCGAGCAACTAACGAACATTCACAAACCCAAAAAAAAAAGTTATCTCCTGTGATAATGGAGGGAAATCAAGCTCATGCTAACTGCCAAAGCCAAACTGAAGATATGGTCGTTGGAGATACTGTTCCCCTATTATTGTTTACAAGTCATGGGTCGTAGATAGAGTCTTGTTCGACAACAACTTATTAAAATTTTCTACTCCATATTACGATTTTGCCAAATTCTAACTAGGATTTGGTAAGATGGTGGTTTTCGGTGTCTCTACAAATAACACTATAACAAAAACTTATTATGATCTATAACTTTCATGATCATTCCAAAAAACAAAACAAAAAGAGAACTATCTTAAAGAGTGGACAACTAGCAAAAATTACTTTTTCGGAACAAGCTTGTTAAACATCATCTTACATATCAGCAATCAAGGGAATTTGCAAGCTACAAATTGCTTCTTAATTTGTTAGATCTAGTTTGAAAAATTACTCTAATTAGAAATTACTCCATACTGCTTAGTATTTTTTTGGTGTTTAAACTACTTCGTACTATATAACTTAGGCTTAGGCCCCGTTCTCTTCACCTTAATTTTGCTGAACTGAAATTATTTTTACTGAACTGAAAATATTTTTGCTGAACTGAAATTATTTTTACTGATTTTCTATTATAATTCTTCTTTAATAAACCTGAATTTTGCTGAAATGAACTTATTTTTACTGAACTGAAATTATTTTTTCTGAACTTAATTTATTTTTATTGAATTGAAATTATTTTTACTTAATATTATTTTTTAAGGTGAAGAGAACAGGGCCTTAATCAAATTTTTTTATAAAGTGACAACCTAAGAATATACTCCGATATTTTTTTATAAAAAGTTGGTGTTATATATCTACATATACTTTTTTTGTCATCTATTTTATTCATTAAAAGATATTAAATTAAACGTGATTGGTTTTGAGCTTGTGACCTCTTATAATAGAGAAGTTTGAGGGTGATGACACATCCTAATTTAGAGGAAGCAAATTTCACGGAATTGAAGACTATATTAATATGGGTCACTTAATTAGCCTTTCTCCTATGTTCTTCCATTATGCATGAGAAAGGGTCATTAATAATTGAAAGTATTTATAAGAATGTTTTATGTTCAGACTATTCGATTATTCTACAAAAAGCAAGATTGAAAAAGATCCATACTTAATTTCTTGATGAACGAACTTTAATTAAGCTCAGTTAAGAACGGGAGCCTCTTTAAATGATGTAGCGCAAGGGCTATGTATAGCATTTTTCTTAAACGAAACTTTTTTCAATGAAAAAAAAAAAAAAATTATTTTTGATAATGGTGAAAAATTGTACACCAATCCAACCCAAAAATTTCCTCACCACAAGCTCTTTTCACCAAAGAAACAAACACAAAACTTTGATTTGCAAAGATTTTTGCTTTCAAGCGCATCCAAGAGCAATCTTACCCCACAACTTGCTATTATGAGGCTATGAGCTTGCTTATTGATTAATCGTGATTGTCTAATTGTCTAACTCAGTAAGGGAATACAATATAAAAACGACAATTAACTTCAAATAATTCCAAGCATATATTGTCAAATTACCTTTAAATTTTTAGCAAAATGAGTAAAATAATCCAAATTAGAAATTGCTTCAAACCATACAAATAACAGTCCCAGTTTGTGCAAAAAGACTAAATATTACGTTTGTACAATGAACATGCAATATGTTCCTAAGATTATTGTTCAAGATTTCATTATTAGAGTAATATACAAAATTAAATTCATGATTTTATAGTGAGATAGAGCAATTACTTCTAATTGATGTTATAATCCTCATTATATATCTAATACCGGAATTAAAACAAATCAATTTTTATAAGGAAAAGAAAATACATTTAAAAAGAAATTATCATCATTATCATAGATTCATCTCATTTGTACAATTCTATAGATTCTCTACTATATCAAACACTAGGCCTAATCCAACAATCAACACAAAATAAGTAAATATGAGATAGAAATACCTAATGTAACTAAACACCCCAATATTCACCACCAAATTTTTGATTTATAGAGAGGCACTTTACATCAAGATTCATTTCCCACCAAAACCTATTTATAACATATCTACCATCATATTATCAGCTTACTCACAAACCAATCATAGACACGTCACGCCGGGAATATGACTCGGCCCCTGAATCCGAGGCCGGCATTTGCCTTTTCCGGCGGCGATCCTCATCTGAACTTTCTCGAACTCCGAAATCGGACAAGGGATAGTGATCTGACCAGGATGATCAAACCCATAAACATTTTCAGCTTCTTCCAGCAACTTTCCAAACAAAGGATGGTTCAGAAACAGAACAGGAACCACAACTCGTCGTAAATGACCTTCAGGCTCCTCCACGTGTACAGCCAAGTGACCCTTTGGAACATGAACCGGTTTTGAGTCGATTAATGAGTCATGACCAACTCGGACATAACCACGAGATGTTACTGAGTTGATCAAACCACGTTGAATCTTTTTTCCCCATTTACATAATCTGGAAATTGTTTTACTCCTTCTTTGCAGAGTTTCACCTTCTAATCTCTCGTATTTGCTTGAATATGATCTTTTTCGGGTTACCCATTTAAAAACCCGGATTAATTTTCTGCCCAATTTGAATCCTCTGTTTCTCCCTCTAATCATCATTATGGCTTAATTACTTGATAATCTAAGGTAATTTATGATTAATTGGGGTGAAATTAGTGAAATTGGATGGTTTTTTGAAATGGGTTTTTGAAAAAGGAGTCAAAAAAAGAAAAGAAAAATGCTGTCTTTTGAATAAAGTCTGTTTTTTTTGGAGTTAAATGGTCTGAAACAGAGGAGAGAGAAAGGAAAAGGAATGAAAGAGCTGGAAGATGATTATGCGGATTAGAGGGAGGAGATATATATGAGAAATAATTGGAAAAATTATAGGGAATTTTTATTTTTAAATAATTATTTTTGGGGAAATACAAAAAGTCAGCTGATTAATTTGTTGTAATGATGCTTCGTGGGTGTAACGATTAAAGTCTAAGCTCTGTTAAATGTGTTTTAATATTAATGTATGTGTGTAATAAATGTTGGGAAAATTAACAATTGTCTTAATCAGAAATTGTTTGGTTTTTATGGTAATATAAAATTTTGTTAATTATGTAGAAGATTTGTTTGTTTAGTGGGTACGTATTAGTAGGAAGGAAATTTCGGTGGAAAGCGACAAATAAGGCAATAAATAAAAATATAAAATATCGTATACAATATATGTGCCCCTGCCTAACGTTGGGTGTACTTTGTACAGTAAATAATACGGACAATTTAGTACTTAAATATAATTAGCTACATAATGATACTAGTGCTAAGATATCAACTACCAATCAAACGGTTTTATGGATTCTTGTATATATGTGTTGGTACTTTGAAGTAGTTAATGTTCATGTATCTCTTTTCTTATAATTGACAGTACAATGTGTTGTTACAAATATGGTTATAGAATAATGTTCATGAATATCATGATGAATTGCCAATGAGTTTGAAACTATAAAGCGTTTCTTAATGTACGGGGTATAGGTAAAGTATAATTGTATATTCGTATGTTATAGAATAATGTTCATGAATATCATGATGAATTGCCAATGAGTTTGAAACTATAAAGCGTTTCTTAATGTACGGGGTATAGGTAAAGTATCATTGTATATTCGTATGTGCATCCTTTTTTTTTTTTTTTTTTTTTTGAAGGAATTCGTATGTGCATCCTTGCTTATAGCAACAATTGACATCCAATATATGTGATAGATATTATATTTAGGATAATATTTGTCACAAGTATAGGATATATTTAATGTATATTTTGTATGTTTATCGTATCTAGGAGTCCTTATCCTAGCGTTGTAAACTCTATATATTTGAATCGTCATGTTGTATACAATTTAGTGAATTTACTAATCTAGGAATAGTTAATATATACCTCCAAATTTGTTTAGCTGGATGTAACCACAAGTGTACGAGCGAACTTGTAATTTGAGTGATGTACAATCTTGTATAAACCATGCAATCAAATAATTAATCATGTTGAAATGAATCTTGTTGCTAGGATTTTATGCACCGAATATGCATGACATGATTAGCATCTATCACAGAAGTGGATCCACTAGAAAAAGTGGACTAAGTACATACTAATCCCTCTATCATAATTCATAAGAGTAGTTTGCGATAATTCATAATTAGCTAAGACAAGTAACAAATTATCTTATGGTTAAGCAGCCTTGGCCCATAAATCAATATAATGATACGAATTATAACCATTTCCGCCCCTTAATGTATTAGATTAGTTATATATTCAACAATAATAGTATAATACATGATAAATGATAAGGTACGGTGTACTGCTATTAATTTTGTGATACCAATAATTAGTTTCCTTAACTTGTGATGCTTATTATCAAGGAAGAATGCGATGTAAGGGCATTAAGCAGCTGCATTATCACAATGATTTAAATTAAACCTTATAAACAAATCAAGATTGTTACTCTTCTTACCCTCAATGGTTTAAGATTTTACTATCAATTGAATATAAACTCAATCTCAATGTAAACTAATTAAACAAAATCACATTCAATTATATGATTTATTGATTCATATACTATCTCTTATTATCTTGTCTAGTACAACTCATGCTATGTTGTAAGACTTGTAACAATAACATCATGTTATAATGTTATATGGTAACTGACAATTAATGTACTATGGAGCAACATAATACACTAGCTACATGTACCATCAAAGTTTGTTAAGCCAAATTAACTAATTTTGTGTTGGAAAAAACTACTTCACCTACCAAAATTTCAAGTTGCATGCCTTACGTCATACTTCATAACAAATAATATCAAAGCTACAGCTAAAACAGATTATGAAAACCTAGTTTTCTTGTTTGTTTATGGCATTGTAGTTCAATAGAGATCTACTCATTATAAATCTCATAATCTCCAAGTACTATTTGGACAATAATTAAAAATTTGCTTTCTTTGTTTTTGTCTTTAAACTATTGTTTACAGCTATTAAGTACTATATATGAGTGTGATTAGTTATATAATTAACATAAATAATTGAGCTTTATAATGCACGTAAGGGTCAAGAAAGATGATTATGGAATACGTAGTAGATTATTACTTACCAAGGAAATTTGTCATTTATTCATTGTACGACCCTTTGATGTAGGTTTGGGTCAGAGATAGCTAATCTCCATTCCCAATTAAGATTTTGAATTAAATTTGTTGGAGCAAAAGGACAAACACATTGAAAACCTTACTTAATCAAATTGAGATTTTTGATAGCTTGAAAATATTAACGTAACTCTAAAGTCTAGAACAATAATAACATGTAGCAATACGAATTAATATTAAAACTATAAGGACAATAATACCGAATATTTGTATCTAGCCTTTTTGAGTAGTAAATAGCATAACATGATATTTATGTATTTTTCATTTATATATGTGAAAAAAAAATTAAAAAAATTCATGAATATTTGTATCTATATACTAAATATCTAATAATCACAACTGGAATGAATGAAAAGTACTTAAACTGCTTAGAATTATATAAAAATCAATGCAATTTGCATATATAAAAATGCACATTACTGCAATAACTAATGTAAATTCTTAAGTTGTGTACTTAAATATTAATTTTGGAAAGTGCTTACTCCAAGAATAGTAGTGGTATTATAATCATACTTTGAAAAGTATATTTGAATGGAGATGAAAGTAAGGCACGCAAAAGACAAAAAATCATAGTATAAGTATTTACACGATGGAGCATTAAACTATAAGCTATATTCCGTACTTTAAGTCTTACTAAAATAAAGAGTGTGTTATTATTATTAATTAAATAATTGATTAATTAAGTGTAAATCAAGTTGAACAGAGAAAGGCAAAAATGTGAATTGGTTCGAAAACTAGCTGGATTAAAGTATTAAACCGACTAATAGTGAAATGTACAAGAATTAAACGCAGGAAATAGGAACTTTTGGAGTACACACGTACATTCCGTACAAATATAGGAAATCAAGACAATAAATAAACACAAGTGTTGCTTTCTTTGGTTGTGATATACGGAAGTCTACATTTAGAAAGGGAAATTATTTGACTACATAATACAATATTATACTCTAATATCTATTCAAAAAATAAAAAAAAATAAAAAAAATAAAAAAAAATTATACTCTAATATATAAAAATGCTTGTATTAGATTATGCTTTTACGGGTGGGGTGGCCTCTTCATATTTATTTTTATAAAGTTGACATGATAAAATGTCATAATTTTCCAAAAGAAAATATATATGGAGTGAGCAACTTGCAATCTAATAATAGCACCAATGGAATATTATATTCGTAGAAAAGTTTAAGAAAATTGGGGTGTCTTACTAATAAGAATTTGGATGAAAAATACTCCAATTAAGAAAAGGTTTATGATTTGTGGGTTTGTAAAATCTTACTACTCGTAGTATAATATTCATTTTATTTCGCGAAGTCTTCTTATATACATTAGATACACATACTAAGGAAAATGAATTGATTAATGTGAATTGGTACATTTAGTTACTTCATGACGAGAGATGTAAAATATAATAAGAATTTCTGAATAAGTGGGTCTAGTTGAGGTAATTTGATAATACGTAGTATTTCTGTAAGAGAAAAGGAAATAAAGTAAAACTAAGAAGAATTAAAGTAAAAAGAACCAGGCATAAAATGAAAGTAATATACAATATTTAATTGTATAAGTTTATTTCACTAATAATTTCAAATCAGTACTTACATGCATGGATCATAGTGGATTATTTGTTATTATATACGAAGTACCTTTTAATATTGAATGTTACTTTTTTTTATTATTATTATTTATTTATTTTTAATAGCTTTTTACCAAGAGAGACATTATTTTGGAAGGAAACTTCATAGAAGGTGCAATAAGTTTGTACAACTTTGTATTTTTGGGGTTCTAACTTTCAAGGTGCATGGATGTTTTGTTTTAAGAACTTTCTATTCCTAGTATGATTGATATCCTACTACTCCTATCCACTCAAAAAAGGAAATGAACAAATTCAGGACTTTCAAGTCAACATTATCCTAGTTTTGGTACATTAAATCAACATTCAAATTTGTTACTGGTTATTTTCAAACTCCATAAAATAAATTATGGACTAGTTGACAAAATTTGAGACCAATAACACCAATCTTTAACACGTGCACGCACGAGTGAGCAAGAAAACACGATCTTAAATCATGTCCCTCAAACTTTTGTTCATGTGCACACGAGTGGGTAAGTATACTTTATAATATATTTAATAAACAAATAATTATATGTGCACTCGAATTTTCCTAGATGAATCACTTTATAATATAACCTCGACCAAAGTTGTTAAGTTGGATTATCAAACTTTAATTATAGAATCAATAACTTTTCAATGTCCCAAAAATATGGACAACTCATATTATACAATTAGCAAGTCATGTTGGGATGGATTATTTGTTTGGTTTGTAAAGATCCAAGATTTACATGTGCCCTGGAGACAGCCATACATGGGTGGCTATTTTAAAAGCAGTTTGCATAAGTTGTCCATATTCTACAAGGCATGGATCTTATATTACGGTAATTTAATTACCGCGAAACT